CTCCCCTGGGGTTCCATGGCCCTGCCTGGCAGTGAGGGCCTAGGTAAGGCACGGTGTGCAGCTTCACAGCCAGCGTGCCCATAACTGTGCCCATTAACACTCTGGCCTGGATAAGGCATGGCATCGCCATGGCAACCAGAGATAGAGTCCAACCTCTGGCTTTGCCATGGAGGGCTGGCTGGCTGCGGGCCGTCCACCTCGCTGTTCGGAGCCCCCCCTTAGACGGACTTCCCTCTAGGCTCTGCCTGCTCCCAGTCCCGGGTTCTGGACAGGGGCCTCGGGAGGAGCAGGCGGGATTGTGAAAGGTAACAGTGGCCACTTCTGCAGGAAGTCTCAGAGATCAGCACAGGAGATCCGCTCGCCAGGAGCGGAAGAGAGATGAAGCAAGAGACAGACTGTTAACAGTCCCGCGATTGCTTGCCCGCGGGCTCCTCGAGCAGCCCGGGAGGCCAGGAGGCCAGGAGGCCAGGAGGCCAGGAGGCCAGGAGGCGCAGGAGGCCCCGGAGGCGCAGGAGGCACAGGTGGAGCGCGGGGCGGAGGTGGGAGCCGCCCCCCTGGCGATGCTTTTCTTTGGAGGGATGAGGATGGGGCAGCAGGGCCCCAGCCAGCTCGATGACAAGGAAGCAAAGGGCTGAGTCCTCTTTCCTTGTGAATTTGGGGCTCTCTCCCTGGTCTAATGGGGGGCACCTGGGCAGGAGACTGGGGTACAGTACCTGCCTTTAAATGTCACGTGGCCAGGGGCAACTCACCTGGCTTCTCAGAGCCTCGGTTTCTCTGTCAGGTTGGAGGGGGAGAGGTGAGTGGACTAGAACAGGCGCGAGGTGGTTCTCAGACCATCAGCTGGGCGGTTTGGGTCTGTGGCCATTGTCTTTTGTGGTTATTGTGGTGAGTGGGGTGCGCGGACCCAGCCCCTCACCCCTTTGCTGAGAGAGTGGCGGGAACGGGGATGGGGGTGGGAGGCCCCGGGCACCCGCAGACACTGTATTGTGACTCCGGGCCGACTCCAGGCTTGGCTAGATTACTTGGGCGGGGCATGTGGGAGAGGGGTCGCGCTGCAGGGTCCTGCGTTCCTGGTCACAGGGGCTCTGGCCCCGTGAGGGCGTGAGGTAGCGAGGATCCAGGAGGGGGAGGGGTGCTCAGGAGGGCGCTCCTGCTGCTGACTCCGGGCCTGTGGTTCTGAGTGACCGAGGGGCAGGGACCTGCACGCAGGGCTGTGAGGGCTGGGGCTGAGGTGACCACCAGGCTGGCGCCGGTGGAGCTGCTGGGGAGGGAGGTGAGCTGGTGGGGAGGGAGCAGGAGCTGCTGGGGAGGGAGTGGGAGCTGCGGGTGCGATGGACAGAGGGTGCCCCGCCTCTGGATGGCCACGCCTGGCCCGAGGGCACAGACTGCTCCCCGCAGGGGGGGGGGGGCGCTGGGGAAGACACTGCTCTGCCGGCCACTGGTGCTCTGGGCAGGGCGGCTGCAGGCACCTGCTGTCCTTGGCCTGGGCTCCCGATGGGCAAGGAGCGGCATGGCCTCGGGGAAGGGGGGCAGCCTGGCTCCTGGGGTGGGCGCTGCTTTTTTTAAATATATTTTTATTGATTTTGTACATAGAGGAAGAGAGAGGGATAGAGAGTTAGAAACATCGATGAAAGAGAGTCATCGATCAGCTGCCTCTTGCACCCCCCCACTGGGGATGTGCCCTCAAGGTACATGCCCTTGACCGGAATCGAACCCGGGACCTTTCAGTCTGCAGGCCGACGCTCTATCCACCGAGCCAAACCGGTTTCGGCTAGGCGCTGCTTTTGTACCAGACGCTGCGGGGAGCGGCCAGAAGTGCAGCTGGGGACCCCCCCCCTCCCCCAAAAGCACGTAGAGAGAGTCCTGTGTCCTGCCATGTGGCCTCAGGGATGCACTTCAGGACCCTGACTTCCCTGACGTGTGGCGCTGACAGACTACATCACAGGAGACACTGCCCCCAACACGGCGGTTCTAGAAGCTTCCGCAATGGGAATTTTATCATCTCCTGCTATCTCCTTCAGCGGAAGTGCAAGTGCGTGTGAAACTCAAGTTTCCTAATGCCTGGCCCGAGTAAAGCCGCCCTCTGCCCAGCAGTCCCTCCCGCGGCTGCTCAGATGGGCCTCCTGCGCCAAGAGGCAGCCCTCAGGCGGGGATGGTCACGTCCATGGCCACCCAGGGGGGCGGGCCTGGCGCTGGTCCTGGTCCTGGCGGCATGGCGTGACCCGGCTCTGAGGCTGGAGCCTCCCCCCCTCCCTCCCTCCCCGCTCCCTCCGTTTCCTCATCTGTAAGTGGGTGTAAGTCGCAGGTGCACAGCACCGGCTCTGGTGAGGTGAAACGGCCGTCACCTCTCCCTGTGGCCAGCGCCACGGCGCTGCCCGTCGCCGGGGGCGGCCGCTGTGGGCCCGCCGGGCACAGGGTCGGCGGCGTCTCTGAGGTCGCGGCGGCGAGGCCCAGGGACAGAGCCGCGAGCAGCAGGGTGAGCTCTGACTCCGGAGGCTGTGTCCCTGCGCGGAGAGGGACCGGCACACAGTGGAATAAAAGCCTATTCTGGGCCGAAACCGGTTTGGCTCAGTGGATAGAGCATCGGCCTGCGGACTGAAAGGTCCCAGGTTCGATGCTGGTCCAGGGCATGGACCTTGGTTGTGGGGACATCTCCAGTGGGGGGAGTGCAAGAGGCAGCTGATCGATGATTCTCTCTCATCGATGTTTCTGGCTCTCTATCCCTCTCTCTTCCTCTCTATAAAAAAATCAATAAAATATATTTTAAAAAAAAAAGCCTATTCTGGGAAGGTGACGAGTGCTCAGAGACAGTGAAGCCAGAGCGGGTGGCGCCTCACCTTCAGGGATCTCATCTAGTCCTCACCCCAACCCCGAGGTGAGCAAGGCTCCTCGCACGGTCCGTGGGGAAACTGAGGCACGGGACGGCACGTGGCTTGCCCAGGTCACACTGGAGAGCGGCAGGACGGAGAGCAGGGCCTGACCCCAGAGCCTTGGCCTCCTCTCTCCTCTGGGCCCTTCTCCACATCCAGGGGCCGGAGGGCGCTCTGCCAGCGGGCAGGGAGCCTGGTCCTCGCTCAGCGCAGGCCCCGTGCACCTGCTCGCCACCTGCTTGGATCTTGTCGCCAAAGTGAAGTGTGGCTCTGGGCAGGGCGGGCAGGGAGGTCTCACGGAGGTGCGGGGAGGTCTCGCGGAGGTGCGGGGAGGTCTCGCGGAGGTGCGGGGAGGTCTCACGGAGGTGCGGGTGCTGCTCTGGGGGATTCGCACGGAGTCGATGCTCCCACAGTGGCCGCTTCCCAATGGCCGCTGGGTGAGGCGGAGGTGCCGATGGGCTCACAGCGCCCCGGGCCCAGCACCGCTGCCGTGTGACGTCTGTGATGGGAAACAGACTGCAGGTCCGAGTGACACCCAGACAGGAAGAGACCGAGGGACTGCACTAAAGTTTGGGGCCTCCCGGGGTGAGGATTGCTGCAGCCATGGCCTCACACCCCGTGTGAGCCCACCTTCCCTGAGGCAGGGCTCCCCGACCTTCCGGCCTGCCTGCGGCCTTTGGCCCTGACAGACGAGCCCGGAGGGGATGCTCCTGCCGCCTCCGCTGCTGCTGCTGCTGCTTCTGCTTCTTCTTCTTCTTCTTCTTCTTCTTCTTCTTCTTCTTCTTCTTCTTCTTCTCTTTATAATATATTTTATTGATTTTTTTACAGAGAGGAAGAGAGAGGGATAGAGAGTTAGAAACATCGATGAGAGAGAATCATTGATCAGCTGCCTCTTGCATACCCCCTACCGGGGATGTGCCTGCAACCAAGGTACATGCCCTTGGCTGGAATCGAACCCGGGACCTTTCAGTCCACAGGCCGATGTTCTATCCACTGAGCCAAACTGGTATTGGCCACTTCCGCTTCTTGCTGCTCACTGCTCCTACACTAAGGTGACCAGACATCCCGCCCCCGCCCCGCCCCCCCAGAGCTGGGCCAAGTCCACGGCCCACAGGAAGCTGCCTGGCTAAGTGCACCCCAACCCCTCTCACCCCGTACAGTTTTACGTACCCCAACTTATTCCCGCCAGGGCAGGCCCCGACTGCCCCTCCCGCCTCCCAGCCGCCCTCTCTCCCGCCCTGGGCCTCCCCTGGACAAAGCCTCACCCATCAACACCCTTCTTCATTGACTGGCTGACCTAAGGCCTTCAATGGCAGAAGAAAGGACCCTAATTAGAGAATTGGATGACCCTTATTGAGCACCTACTATGTGCTAAGGAGCTGGGGATGAAGTGGAGCAAGGTGCACAGGGACATCCATAGGGGTCACAAACAGGGCGTACGGAGCCCGACTTGAAGCTGGGGGTGGCTGCAGGGAAGGCTCCTTGGAGGAAGCAGAGGGAGGAAGAGGAGTCCCCTGGGAGAGGGGATAGGAGAGTCTGCAGGTTGGGGCACAGGGACCAAGGGTGGAGGGAGTGGATCAGAGGGTGAGAGGGATGGGGGTGGGCAGTGAAGGAGGGCACATGCTGATTCCTGGGTGGGCGTGTGGAGAGAGGAGGGAAATGGTGTTGAGGAGGAAAGGCCGGAGGCAGGTGACTGAGAGGGAGGAGGCAGCTGGGGAGGGGACGGTGGGGATTGGGGGTCGGGGGGAGTGCGCTGGAGGAGCAGAGGGAGAGACGGCTCACCAGGTGCTGCCGGCCCTTCAGACGTGGGACTCGGGGCGACCCTGTGTCACCACCCCAACCCCTAAACCGGAACCTGTGCCGCACAGGAGCCTCCTGGTTCAACAGCGGGAAGACCCTGGGCGGCTGAGCAGAGACCTGACGATGAGGGCGCGGGGAGGGCCTTCCAGGCAGAGGGCGCTGAGGCCAGAGGGCAGCGAGGCCAGCGGGGCCCAGGCGGGCGGCATCACCGTGGCGGGGTCTCTCCAGGGCTAACGGGGAGCGGGGGGGGGGGGGGGGGAAGAATGCAGCTGCTGTGCCGGTGCAGCAGGCAGTGACCCCTCGCCGTTCTCCTCCCCAGGCCACAGCGGCATGGAGTCCGGGCAGAGAGCCGCCCGAAAGGGCCGGAAGCTGGGCTCCAGCCGGCGGCGGCTGACGCGGGAGCCCGCGGCCGGCCAGGATGCCCCTGTGGCTCCGGAGCCCTGGTCCCCGCAGGCGGCCGAGGAGCTGCAGGGCTTCTTCCAGGCCTGCGGGGCCGCGGAGAGGGGCTTTGTCACCCGCGCGGACCTGGCGGTGAGTCAGACCCCGTCCCTCCCTGACCCCCCTCCAGGGCTCGGACCCAGCACTGCGGGGCTCGCCTCTCCTTCCCTTCCTCTCAGCTGAACTCTGACCTCTGAAAGGCTAGGCCAGTGGTCGGCAAACTGCGTTCTATTGACTAATGCGCTTGCCGACCCCTGTCATATCCCACCCTTTACCTCTTTGCACACAATATGTCACAATTGCCTCATCCTCACAGCTTCCAACTACACGGTAACCTTTAGTGTAGTCCAGTGGGGTCGGCAAACTCATTAGTCACCGGAGCAGCCGACCACTGGTTTATACTAACGTGCGTGCAAGCGACCGACAAGGCTCTGTGAGCTATCCTCTTTCAGAAACAGTGACATTTTGACAGAGGGAGGGACTTTAAGCCAAAGAACTAACTTGCAAATGATATAACTTGGGGCCACAGAGCAGGGAAGTCTGGTTAGAGGCCTGGACATCTAACCTTGCGGAGGACAGGAGACGTGAAGGAAACATAAGGTCAGCCGTGGTCGTGTGCCCGATAAGGAGGCTTGGGCTGTGGCCTGGACCAGATCGGCAGATTTTCCCCTGGGTTTTCCTCTCTCCCTGCAGAGGGGCCCCTGCGGGCTGCTCAGGTCTCGCTGGGCCTGCCGTCTCCTCCCGATGCTGCTCCCGGCTCCGGACTTTGTCCTTCCCCCAGCAAAGCTGCCCTTCCCATCCCCGCCTCAGGACCACACAACGTCTGAAAGGCCCATGTTCAGATATAATTTTCAAAAGGGTAACAACAAAGACTGAAGTAAATACAAAATCAGCACTTATGGAAGGTCTTACCTAATTAATTGTTGCTAATTAATAAGGGAACCAGTAAGATGTTCCGGAGGGTTCAGAGAGCAATTGAGGAGCGGGGATATGTATAAGCAATCTGACAGAGGAGTGGTAGGATAAAATTGCTGAGTTCGATTTTAAAAATGGCTTGTGTCCAACAGCCGTCAATCTTTCGGGACATCGGTTTTGCTAGGCAAAATTATTTCCATCTCTCCTGGACAAAAACCGGCAAGTTAACGAGTAACCAGGAGTCTGGGACTTTGAATTCAAGGTAAACAATGAGAGGAACTAAGTGCATTCCTCGGGCCTGTCTTCCTCATTCCCAAGTTTCAGACTTTTACCATCTCTGTTCGTGGCTCTGCCATCTGGCGTGACCATCCGCCCCAGTTTGCCGGGGCTGGTACCAGGGATGTGGCCCCTTCTGGGCTGTACCTGGCCACCATATATCTATCCTAAGGCCAAGAACCAACCCAAGACTCTCTCTCTCCACAGCTTTGTCTGCAGGCTCCAGAAATGTGAGGGGCTCTCTTCTTGGGGTCCCCCTCCGGCCCAGATCGGCCTTCCTTGTCACCTGGTCCCTCGGAGGTCTGGCAGGCATGGGCTCCGTGCTCCTCATGGTGGCTTGTCCCGCCTGATTGGGTGGGAATCACTCTCCACATGACACTCCCCTTACACAACCGACTTATCTCACCATCTCCGCAAAGGAGGACAGGCTCTCCCTGAACCTGTGCACAGGACGATGTGGCGTGGAAAGTAAAAGTACAGGTTTCTGAATCAGAAGGGTCCGTGAGATTCAGACACCATTTAATATGTTTAATTTCCGTTTACAAAAGCCATAACCTACTCAGCTGAAGGCTGGAGACAGCTCAGGAAGACAGATCCATAAAAATCACACCAACTGTGTTCCCAACAAGTACCTGGACCGTTGTTCACTCGGTCCGTTCACTGGGTTCCGTGAACTGGGGCTGGCTCCGCTGGACCCTGGGAGAGCTGCTGCAGGCTCAGGCTGAAGGCGGGCGGCGTCCTGCCCGGGAGCTCCGGCAGCCAGAGAGCTGGGTGCAGCCCTCCCTCAGCTCCAGTCTGGCCTGCGGGAGCACAGACTGGCAGCCGCTGTCCACCGAGCCTCCGGGCAAAGCGCAGCTTCTTTAGGAGCGAGACTGAGGCGGTGGTTGTCTGTCACAGGAACTAACAGCATCAGAATGCAGAGAGCCCAGCTCTCTCCTGGGACAGACTGTTGGTGAGGGCTGACCAGCATTTCCCCTGAGGTAGGGACGGCATTGAACAATCCCCACGGCCTCCATACAGCACGCAGCTTCTGAAATGGCTGTATTAGTGGCATTTCACCGCCGTAAACTGGAAAGGCCACCATCTCTTCTGAGCTGATGTTCTTCCTTCACTGCTCTTCTGTTTTGCACCCAAGCCACGCTTACTATCAGGTTTTGTTACAGGTTAAAGCCTCAGTTTTCGTGTTCTTCTACAGGCAACAAAGATTACAATATTCTTTATTGATAATGATCGCTTATTTTTTTAGAAGCAGATGTCAAACACAATTGTGTTAATTAATCTTAATGAACTTAAAAATTAAAACAAATATACAGCATAGGTATACAGTACATCCCATCTTCTCTGGCCATCTGCCCATCGCTGGAAGCTTGGACTGTCCCCATGTCTCGGCTGCTGTAAATAGCGCTGCAGTGAACACAGGGAGCACCTATCTTTTTGAATTTGTGTTTTCGTTTTCTTCAGATAAACACCCAGAAGGGGACTTACTGGATCATATGGTAGTTCTATTTTTAAACTTTTGAATTTTGTTTTTAATCCTCACTCAAGGATATGTTTATTGATTTGAGAGAGAGAGAGAGAGAGAGAGAGAGAGAGAGAGAGGAGAGAGAAACACCGATGTGAAAGAGAAACAGCAATGGGTTGCCTGACACATGCACATTGACTGGGCATCAAACACAAACCCAGGTATGTGCCCTGACTGGAATCGAACCTGTACTCTTTTGATATATGGGACGATGCTCCAACTAACTGAGCCACCTGGCCGAGCTCTATTTTTAATTTTTTGAGGGGCCTCTATATTGTTCCCCATAGTGACTGCACCGATTTATGTTCCCACCATGAATGCACAAGGGTTTCCTTTTCTCCTCAGCCTCACCAACACTTGTTATTTCTTGCCCATCATGCTCTTATAATAGAGGTGAAGTATTTAATAATATATGGAAAGATATCCTGAAGTTTCATTTCCCCCCCTAAATTTAGGATCTGATATTGGAAGGTGAAATCAAAAGAGCTACCAGAGAAATGTGGCCACTAGTTTCAGGCAGGCTCACGGGAGCCTGAGAAATAGTACCGCTTGGTTACCTGTTTAATCAAAGTGACAAGAAAATGCAATCGTTTGGAATAAGCATAGAGGAAGGTGACACAATTGCAGGGCATCGAGCTCTTTCATAAGAAAGGTACCTTAGGTTCTTGTTTCTGAAAGAGAATATGATAAAGCAAACATAGCAGAGGGGGTTTTTCTGCTGAGAAGTGGAATCCATCATCTGGGCAGCTTACACAGAGGATGAAGAGCAGCCTCTCTCTGACACTGGCTAAGGGCTCTAAAGCCAACCTGTCATTTTAACAGAGATGGAGCCCAACTCTAGTTATGCATTGATATAATGCAAGGGAGTTTCACAATTTGTTTATTTATTTACTTATTTTTAATACATTTTTATTGATTTCAGAGATGAAGGGAGAGGGAGAGAGATAGAAACATCAATGATGAGAGAGAATCATCTATGGATTGCTTCCTGAGTGCTCCCGACTGGGGATTGAGTTTGCAAGAGCATGTGCCCTTGATCGGAATTGAACCCGGGACCTTTCCGTCTGCAGGCCGATGCTCTATCCACTAAGCCAAACTGGCTAGGACTTAATTTATTTTAAAACCCATCAAGCCCTGACAGGTTTGGCTCAGTGGATAGAGCGTCAGCCTTATGACTGAAGGGTCCCAGGTTCGATTCCAGTCAAGGGCATGTATGTTGGTTGCGGGCACTCTCTCATCGATGTTTCTAACGCTCTATCTTTCTCCCTTCCTCTCTGTAAAAAAATCAATAAAATATATATTTTTTAAAAAACCATCAAAACCGAGGCGAATTTGGCAAAATGTTAACCTATTTCATAGCTTATTTTCAGACTCCGGTATTATAAATCAAGGCAAAAAGATTCCCTCCCGTTCAGGAAACCTTCTGTGACTCTATCCATTCAGGCTGTGGCCTTTATATTTTTTCATGTTCTGGAACGACCGGACATGTTAAGACAAAAACCACTTCCTTCATCTCCTCAAGACAAAAACACACCCATGTTCCGTGCAGACACGGATGTCTCTGTCACTCTGTTCCCAGTATAGACTCAGACACCCATAGTGACTACAACTTTTAACCAACGTAATTGACCTCAGAGTGAACTGAGGGTAAGTACCCTGTTTCCCTGAAAATAAGACAGTGTCTTATATTAATTTTTTCTCCCAAAGTTGTGCTAAGTCTTATTTTCAGGGGATATCTTATCTTTCCATGCACTAGGTCTTATTTTCGGAGGATGTCTTATTTTGGGGGACTAGCAGAGCTCACAAGGACACCTAACACAGCTTTCTGCAGTCACACATGTCCCTTGCACAACTTAAAAAAAATTGTGATAAAATATACCTAACGTAAAACTTGCCATCTCGGTGATATTAAGTAATTAGCATTGTTGTGCAATCACCGCCACCACCTCTCTCCAGAAACACTGCTTCTCTCCCCCGAGGGAACTTGGCCCATTAAACACTGACTGCTGGTCTCCTCCCTCCCCAATTCTACTTTCTATCGCTGTGATCTGGCTGCTGCAGGTCCCTCATGTACGTGGGCTCAGATAGTGTTTGTCCACAGGTTCATTCCTGTTGTAGCCCATTATGGAATTTTCTTCCCTTTTAAGGCTGAATGATGTCCCACTGGACGTATCTACCACATTTTATGTATCGTTTGCCCCTTGATTGCTTCCGTCTTTAAGCTATTGTGAATACTGTTGCTCTGAATGTAGATGTACAAATAGCTCCCTGGCCCCTGCTTTCTCTTGCACAACTATCTGAAGTGTCAAAATGGATTCACTCTTGAACACGGCCCAAAGATACAGCTGCTCTCCAGCACATGAAAGGAAGAAGTAAAAAGACACAAACTTAAGGTGATGCTTAGCAATTAAACTTTCAGTATTACATATGTTCTTAATTAATTTAGTATTAATTCAAGTTTTTCATGTTACTAAAGATCTTGGAAATTATGTTTGAAATGACATACTACAGTAAAACATAAGTACTGTTGATATAAAATTTGTTAGAATAACTAATCAATTTAGTTGAACACAAATTTACATTGTTATAATTTTTTTCTTCAGAGTGCACAACTAGGGTTTAATTTTTTTCTCTTTAATATATTTCCTTTTTCGTGTACTTGTTTATTTGTTTAATTTTTAAATGTACTTTTTATTTTATTTTAAAGAGAGAGGAAGGGAGAGGGAGAGAGAAACATTGATTGGTTGCCTCCTGCATGCACCCCAATCAGGGAACTAGTGGACAACCTAGGGATGTTCCCTGGCCAGGAATCAAACCGATGACCTTTCAGTGCCTGTGACAATGGTAAACCAACCAAGCCACACTGGCCAGGGCATGTACTTGTTTATTTTTATTTTTTTATTAAGTTTACTAGGTGACACTGGTTAATAAAATTATATGGGTTTCAGGTGTACAATTCTAACATTTTTTATAATCCTAAACATTACGCACAGATAATGTTAGCTTATTTGATCAGAAAGACAAAAATAAGAAGTGCAGGACATCCAGATGAACTAGTTTCTTCACAAAAAACAACAACAACCTATATCAAGGCCTTATCTACACTAATAAAAGAGAAACATGCAAAATGACTGGAACATGCCCACAGCCAATCAGGAGAGACTATGCAAATTAACCCTACAAAGGTAGAGGTTAATTTGCATACACAGGCACAGAGCGAAGATTGAAGACAGTGTGGAAGGAAGCCAAGGGCTGCAGAAGGGAGGGAGGCAGCAGGGAAGGGAGGGAGGGAGGCAGCGGAGAAGGGAGTGGGCTTTGTTCTCTTCTCTGCTTCTCACTGGCCGGCTGCAGGAAGCCCTATTCTTGCAGGAATCTTCCTGCAACAGGCCTCTAGTAAAAAATAAAATGTATACTTGTATTATATGTAATATAAATCAGAGAAAACACAGATAACTATTATCAGTCTCTTGTAACCCAGATTTTAAAACTAATCTCATTTGTCCAAAGATTCACCTTAATTATTGAACCTGGATCCTTAAAAGTTTTCTGAGCTAACAACTTCTTGTATGGGGAACTTTTTTTAAAAAAAGCTGAGTACTTATAAAGCATAGAAATTTGGTTTCTTTATTTCCTCTGACTTCGGGAAATGTCAGATTTATGTAGGCACTTAGCTGTCTCTACAAACCAATCAATACGGACCCCCAGACTCGAAGCTGTCAGTATCTCCAGAAGTAGAAAGTTATTTCACACCCACACTGAGAGCTAAGGCCTCTCTGATTACAGACATGTAGGCACACAAACATAGAGTGAGTCTGACTATTTTTGCAACTCCAGCCATGGGTCAAAAGCCAGCACAGCTGAAACCGGTTTGGCTCAGTGGATAGAGCATCGGCCTGCGGACTGAAAGGTCCCAGGTTTGATTCCGGGGACATCCCCAGTGGGGGGTGTGCAAGAGGCAGCTGATCGATGATTCTCTCTCATCGATATTTCTGGCTCTCTATCCCTCTCTCTATAAAAAAAAATCAATAAAATATATTTAAAAAAAAAAAAAAAAAAAAAAAAGCCAGCACAGAGACAGAAAAACTCACCAGTCCAGGTCTCAAAAAATTGCTCTCCCTCCCAGTGGGGGCACAACTTGTAACTAAGCAAACACTTCCACCTCCAACAAAAGATGAGCAAATCCGACTTCGTGTGGTCTCCCCCACCGTGGCTGCCACCAACATGAAAACACAGTCAGCAAAAAGGACCCCAGAGACACAGAGTCGGTGAACTTAAAGCTCAGTCACACCCAGGCTGCCCTCCCAGCGCCCAGAGGTGCCTGCTCATTCCCCAGCAAAGCAGCTTCCGTGGTTCTGACAGCGAGTCCACTGGGCATCCTCACGGGACCTCCCAAACATACCCTCCCAAAAGGCAGACTCACGGCCCTTCGGCAAAGATAAGATGGATCATCACAGATTTCATTTAAATCATTAATTGAGAGAGGTTATGAATGGTTGAAAGAGCATTTAAAAAGCTAGGTAATTTAACAAAGAAATGTTAGAAATGCTGAGTTAGAGCTTTAAAAGCTGGTGAATGCCTGATAGGCCATACATCTTTGGGGTTACCGGTTCCTTTGGACAGAAATCACTCACATCTCTCTCGGACGAAACCTACACGTGATCCTGTGACTTTCTCTAGTCCGGGCCCTTTCGTAAGCTCCCTGCGACCAAGTCTGTCCATCCCTCGTCTAGGGGATGCTCGGCGGCTTTTGCCCTGAACGTGCTGTCCACCTTGGGGACTTATTGCCAAATTCCAGGTTAATTTTTGGACACCGATCAACACCATCTGGGGCGGATTCCCTACTGTCCTTTATTAGGACCCTTAAGGGAGAGACTCAGGACCGGCAAATGTGGACGTAGGAGGAGGATGGGAGAAGGCGTGGAGGAGCTCAAGGCTCCGCTGAGGCCGTCTGGGACAGGGTCCGGGTCCGGAGCCTCAGGGCAGGCCCTGCCTCAGACAGGCCGTGGGACTCCAGAGCTGGGGAGAGGGAAGGTGGGGGTGGCCCAGTGGGAACAGCACCCAATCTCCCCCCTCCTTGCAGGCGGCCAAGCTCAGCTTCCTGGGCAGCGAGGAGGAGCCGGAGATGATCTTTGACTGGGTGGACCTGGAGCGGAAGGGACGGCTCTCCCTGGAAGAGTTCAGCTCCGGGCTCAGTATGTCTGCCCCTGTGGGAGGCGCCGCGGGGCTGGCCGCGGGCAGGCGTCCCTGCCGTGAGCCCAGCACGGGGCCAGGCTGGGCTGACGGAAAGGCAACGGTGACACCTTAGCAACCAGGGGCCCTCACAGCACCCCGAGAGAGCTCAGGGGTGGAAGACAGTCCTGGGGACTGGAGACGAGGACCCTCAGCCCGGCGGGAAGGCAGGCGGTTTGAGCCTTAGGACTCTCGCCCCGGAGATCGGGTGGCTTCCTCTCCCACCGGCCAGAGCCGTTCTCGGCTGGGGGACCCCCTCAGCATCCCCCTTCTCTAGAGGGGCTGCCAGGCCTGCTCTCCGATGCCTCCCTGTCTTTTCCCCAGCAGAAGGCTTGCCTTGAGCGAGAAGTTAAGCGCTCCCCATTCTTGAGGCCACAGGCTTGTTTCCCTCTGAGGACGCTCACGGCCTGGCTGGTGACGCTCACGGCCTGGCTGATGATGCTCACGGCCTGGCTGGTGACGCTCACGGCCTGGCTGGTGACGCTCACGGCCTGGCTGGTGACGGGCACTTAGGGCCCAGGGAGCAGCGAAGGGTTTAGTCCTCACTGAGCTGGGCTGCTTCCACCCCTGCTTCTCAGCCAGGCCCCAAAGGACCTAAAGAGACCAGACCAGCAGGGAATGATGCTCCCCCTTCTCCGGGGGAGAGAGGGTGGCGGGGGCGGGGGAAAGACCTGGCCCAGGGAGGGGAGGTGTGGTGTCCTTCTGAGCCCCTGTCGAGCCCAGCTGGCCTCACATTAATGCGGAGCCACCGGGGCCCTCAGTTTGCTGGTCTCTGGCAGGAAACAGAGAGGGGGGCCAGGGATCTGCATTTGTAGGTCCGGGCTGCCCAGGAGGTGGGTGTCTGGCTCTGGTGATGGGGAAGCTGGATGGGGGCAGGGGGGAGGTTGGGGTCTGGAATCGGGGAGTGGGGGCAGAGGGAACATTGTTGTCCATGCATGCCCCCCCAAGGCCATCTTCCTATCAGAATCTAGTCCTGCCCAGTGCCCCAGGGACCGCCGCTGCCTGTGCAGCTCAGTCTGCACCCCTGCCCGGGCCCCCAGGGCAGCACAGGCTCTGCCAGCCTCTTGGCTCACTCAGTGCCACTCGCTCCTCTGGTGTGCCAGTCTGTTTCCCACCACAGGACCTTTGCACGTGCTGTTCTCTCTGCCTGGAATCTGCCTCCCCAGGAAGGCACAGGACGTGCTCCTTCTTGCCATTCTCATCTCGGTCCCAATGTCACATCCTCAGGGCACGCCTACCCACTCACTTTAATGTCTAGCTCACTTAGCAAATTTACTTTTTAGAAAATGTGTCCTTTTCAGCACTCACTACAATGTCAGTTCTACTGGGACAAGGATTTGGGCCATTTTTGTCCCCAGCACACAAATATTCTGTGCTCAGTAAATATTCTGGGTGAACGAAGATGTGTTGGCCACCATGGAGCGGCTGTGTAATTTCCAGCGACGCTAGGCCTCTCAGGGCCTCGCCTGTTCACCTGTAAAATGGGCACAGTGCTGCCGCCCGTAGCCTCCCAAGGCTGACGTGAGGCATGCATGAACATCTGGTATAAATGTGACCACAACGGATATAGCTACTTCCCTCTGGGCTGGAGCAGGGCAAGGTGAGGGGTCAGGGGTGACGGGCTGAGCCCAGCCCCACTCCCCTCCCTCCTGCCCCCTCTGCCGCACAGAGAGCATCTTTGGCTCCAGCCCGAGCACGCAGAGGGTCCGCGGAAGGAGGCCGCTGTCGTCCAAGCGGGGATCTGCGGCCACCAGCTTCCCGGTGCTGGAGGAGGCGGGCGCGGAGGAGAAGGAGGAGTTCCTTGCCTTCATGGAGCAGCTGGGGGGCAGCCACTCCCTTCCTGAGTAAGGCCGGCTCCGGGTGTGGAGGGGGGAGGAGGAGGGGGAGGGGGAGGGGGCGGGGCGGGCACGACCAGACCGTGTAGGCCAGGCCTCACTGGACGCAGTGTGGAAGTGGACACAGTGTGGAGAGCTGGGTGCAAATTCTGGTTTGGCCACTTGTTAGCTGTGTGACTTGGGGCAAGTGGCCGACCCGGGCCTCGGTTGCCCGGCTGCAGAGTGAGCGCGGAGCTGTTGGGGAGAGATACAGCCCCGTGGAGATGCCTGCTCCGGAGGCGCCCCAGGCCCGGGCCTCACCCCCGCCCCTGCTCTGAACTGCCCTAGGATCCCTCCTCCGGAGGGTTACCGGGCTGGGGCAGCCCCCCAAGGGGACTCTCATTCTGAGGGTGCCTTTCTTAACCCCAAAAGAGGGTTAGGACGGTGCGGGGCGGGAGATTTGGAGACAGACGGCGTTTCCCCCAAATTGGCTCTGGTTCTGGGCTCTTGGTGTTACTTGTGCTCAGAGAAGGAGGGTCCTGCCTAAAAGGACCCCCCCCCCCCGCACACCCCATCTCTCTCACACCCCATCTGCCACTGGGGGTCAGAGCAGCAGGGGGTCGAGGCCCCACGGGGCTGTGGGAATGAGCTCTCCAAGGGCAGGCCCAGGGCTTGGGGCAGACCGGGTGGGGCGTGGAGTACAGGCTGCAGGGCCAGGCGTGGTGGGGAGCCAGTCACCTCCTTGGCGCTTGGCCTGCTCTCGCTCTGGCACCGTCCTCACAGCTTAGTGAAGGCACCTGGGTCAGGTGCCAGCCCGTGCCAGGCCCCAGCCGTGCTCTCACCGGGCGTGTCTCATGCTCTGGAGAACTTGCTGGGCAGGTACCTGCCTCCCTATTTTACAAAGAAGCCCAGAGAGGGCATGGCACTTGCCCAAGATCACACAGTTGGGGAGCGGGGGGAAGCGAGAAGGCAGCTGAGGCCCCGGGCCATCAGGCTCCCAGTCCCCCTCCCCACAGTTAATCCCCAAACCACAATGAACCACGGTACTCTGGGGGTTCAAGAAGGGAGAGGGCAGCCCTCACCAGCGTGGCTCAGTGGCTAGAGCGTCAACCCGGGGACTGAAGGGTCCCGGGTTTGATTCCGGTCAAGGGCACTAACTCAGGTGCAGGCTTGATCCTAGCCCCAGGTTGGAGTGTGTGTGGGAGGCAACCAATCAATGTGTCTCTCTCCCATCGATGTTTCTCTCTCTGTCTCTCCCTCTCTTTTTCCCTCCCTTCCACTCTAAAACTCAATGGGAAAATATCCTTGGGAGAGGATTAAAAACAAGGGAGAGGGCACTCCTGGGAGAGGCTCCTGGAGGGCGTGGCATTTGGCGGCACCCACAGGGGTCAATAGATTTTGCAGCCCAGGCACCCAGTCTCCTGGAGTGCTGCCATTCATGTGGAGAACGGGGCCCCCTCGGCTTCCTGCCCCCCTCCCCATGTCTCAGCTCTGGCTCCCCCTCCCCAGGCAGGAGATCTGGCAGCTGTGGGGGAAGCTGAGGCAGGAGAAGCCCCAGCTGGCAGGCAACCTGGAGGGCTTCCTGGCGCAGATGACCAGCCGCCTGCAGGAGGCCCGGGCTGACAGGGAGTCTCTGGAGCTGACCCTGAGGAAGTGAGTGGTGGGGGTCGCGCCCATTTGTCTGCACGCAGTGGGAGCTTTTTACGTGTTCGCTGAATCCTAATGGGATCCCCTTGGCGGCAGAAGGATGGAGGCCAAGGCCACGCAGGGCCTGGAAGCTGGGATGGGCAGAGAGAGGCTGGAGGAAGGGCTGGCATCGGGGGCTGGGGAGGGCAGAGTCGGCCTTTGGTGAGAGTGGGATGCCACGTGCTTCTTGGTGCAGGGCCCCATGGCAGCCGACGCCAGGAGTGCCACTCACGTAGGTGGCATTGCATGTGGCGACCCTGGGGTTGGCATGGGCACAGCTCTGCGGGGATCTGAGCTATGGAAGCAGGGGGATGAGGATAGAGGGATGGGGGCAGAGGGGTGTGGGGACAGAGGGGTGTGGGGACAGGGTGTGAAATGATGGGGACCATGTGACAGGGCCAGGGGACCAATAGCTTGGCGATGGCTACAGGAGTCAGGTGTTGGGACCAACATGACCAGTTTCAGGGGTGCATGGGCCAGGGGCTGCTACTGGGATAACTGTTTCCAGGGTAACGAGGGTCAGGGGTCTCTGCCCAAGCGAGGTGAGCAGTAGATGGGCTCCAAGCCAGGTCCTCTGGCAGCAGCAGGGCCCCGGGGGCACTGAGGCGCTGCCCGGCCCCCCTCCCCCCCCAGGCGGGACTCTGACCACCAGCGCGAGGTCCAGCAGCTGTACGAGGAGATGGAGCAGCAGATCGGCCGGCAGAAGCAGCAGCTGCAGGCCAAGGTGGGCCCCGGCGGCCTGCCCTCCCCGGCCCGGGCCCCTCTGCTGGCCCAGACACAGGGCCGGCGCCGGCCGGTGTGGGGTAGCAGGAGGCGGCCGGGATGGGTCCTCTCACACCCCTGACCGGGAGATGGGGTGAGGAGTACGGGCCTCGCTTTGTCCCCTGGGGCCGGTCCCACTTCCCGGGCCTCGGTTTCCTTGCTGCCACAATCTAGGCTGAGACCCCTTCTGCGGGGACCCCGTGCCCCGGCCCGGGTGGCGGTGAGCCTGGCCAGGGCTCAGACCCTCGCCCAGGGCCTGAGGCCTCTCTCTCCGCAGAGTGAGTCCCGGGACCTGGCCCTCAGCTCCCAGATGCAGGAGGCCCTGGAGGCCAAGGAGCGGGAGGCGCAGCAGCTGGCGGAGGGCCAGAGGGAGGTGAGTGTGCGGCCCGGCCGTCTCTGAGCATTCAGACTGGCACCCCCGCCTCCTCAGAGAGCGGCCCCCTGGGAAGGCGTGGCGGGCCCTTTTCCGAGGTGAGGCCAGGTAGGGCCGTGGGAGCACCAGGACAGGAGCCAGAAGGGGGTAGGTTCAAATCCCTGTGGTTCCAAAGCAAATCTGAGGAAATCACTGCTCGCCCGGCCTAAGTTTCTCCACCTGTGCAATGGGACTGGCCACATCGATTGCATCTCCCCGGCTGGTTGTGTAACATCTATACTGATTAAAGAGTAATATGCTAATTAGACCAGGGGACCTTCCAGATGTCCTTCCAGACAAAGCCATGGTGGTGGGGCCGAGGCAGGCTGACAGGTTGGGGGGATGGGGAGGCAGCTGAAGGCTATCAGGCTGGCAGGGGGGCAGTTGGGGGTGATCAGGCCAGCAGGCAGAGTGGTTAGGGTGATCAGGCAGGCAGGCAGGTGAGCAGTTAGGAGCCAGCGGTCCTGGATTTCGAGAGGGATGTCCGACTGCTGGTTTAGGGTCAGACATCCCCTGAGGGGTCCCAGATTGGAGAGGGTGCAGGTTGGGCTGAGGGACACCCCCCTATGCATGAATTTCGTGCACCTGGCCACTAGGAGGCAATAAATGGAAAGCGCGGTGGAGAGGAAATGCAGGGCAAACCCAGGCCTCGCCGCTGGCATCCAGCTCGGTCTCCATCTCCGTGGGCAGCTGAGCGGCTTTGGCAGGTTTCTAACCTCCCCAAGCCTTGGTTTCCTCCACAGAGAAGTGGGGCCCGGTTCTTAGAAAACGGCTATGATGTGCCCGGAGCGTTACCCATCACGGCTCTTCCTGTCTCTGAATCTGACCTGGCTCTGGGCAGAGGACCTGCTGCCGGCAGTCAGTGGCCACTCCCATCTCCTTGTGGCTGAGTCTTTGGTTTGAGACCCTGCTCCCTGTCCCCCTCCCTACTCCCCGCCTCTTCCTCCAACTCCCAACCGCCGCCGTAGTAACTCACAGGGGTGGTGACGGACTCCGGCATTCCTTCGGCTGCTCTCCCCCGCTGCCTGGCTGCCCAGCTGCCTGCCTCGCCTTCCTGCACCGGCTGGTGCCCCCAAGGCAGCAGGCCCCTCCTGCCGAGGGAGAAGGCCGGACTTCCACGGGGGCCATGGTGCTCTGTCCCCCGAAGCTCTGCCTCAGGCCCTTCATCCCTCCCCCAACAGCCAGTTAGGACGCACCCGGACGTGCCAGGCAGGTCTAGGCTCTGAGGACCACGACAGACACAGAGTCATTGTCTAGCCAGGGAGACGGAGGATAAAACCAGCCAGGAAAATCCGTAACTTGTTAGATAATGAAAGTGCAGAGGAGGATAAATAAAGCAGGGCCGGGGGACAGAGGGGTTTGGTCGATGAAGACGTTGGAGTAAAGACCTGGAGAAGGGGAGGGTGGGCCATGCGATGAGGAGGAGGAGCAGCTGGGCAGAGGGAACGGAGAGTGCAAAGGCCCTGAGGTAGGCACGTGCTGTGGGTGTTTAAGGCACAACAAGGAGACCCGTGGCTGGGACGGGGGCGGGGGGGGGGGAGGTCATAGATGTAACAGGGTCGGTGGGGGGGGGGGTCTGTGCAGGGCCCTGGGCCACTGGAGGGCTTTGCCTCCCACTGCGCAGCTCTCCGTGGGACTTGCTGTGGGCCCCGGAGCTCCCTGCAGACAGAGGGAGGTGTGGCCTCAGGCAGTGTGTTCCTGCAGCTCCCTGTGCCCCCTCCACCCGGCATTTCACACGTCCCTCCGCTGGGAGGGCATGGAGCCCGTTAGGAAGGAGCGGTCACTCCTCCAGTCCTGCTTTAAGCCGGGCTGTGGGGACCTGGAGCCTGTGCCCCCCCATGGCCTTGGGGGGCTGCCGGTTGACCTGGAGGGCGGCTGGTCTGTCCCCTCACCGCCCCCTCCGTCCCCTCCTGCAGCTGGAGGCCGAGCTCAGGCGCCTGAGCAGCGCCCAGCGGGAGGCCGGCTCCGAGAAGCAGCAGCTGCGGGACGCCCAGCGGGACCTGGCCGCGCGGCTGGAGCAGGTGCAGGGGCAGCTGCAGGCGACCCGGGGCCACCTGAGCTTCGCCAGGAGCCGCGTGTCCTGGCAGGTGGAGGCGGAGCCGAGGCAAGTGGCTGCCCCCGGCGGGGTGGGGGTGGTGGGGACCAGGGCTCCTGGAGGGGGGCTGTCCTCTGGCTGTCACCCCAGCACACGGCCCCTCACAAAGCCCACAGCACTGCCAGGCGGATTGTCAAGTCCATTTCCAGACAAGGAAACTGAAGGGCAGGCAGGGGAGTCAGTGCCCAACGCCACACCTGGGATTCAGACACACACTCACTCACTCACTTACACACACACTCACACTCACACACTCATACACACACTCACACACACTCACTCACACACACACTCATACACACTCACACACACACATACTCATACACACTCATTCACTTAAACACACACTCACACTCTCACACACACTCACACACACAAATGCACTTACACACACTCATGCACACTCACGCACACTAACAGACATTCACACATACTCATACACATACACACACTCAAACACACTCCCGCACATACATAAACTCACACTAACATACACACTCACACTCACTCGCTCGCACACGCACTAACATATTCACACACACTCATACACTCACATTCACTCACACATGCACTCATACACACTCACACACGTACATACACGCACATTCACACCTACTCACAGGTCTTGTGTGCAACTGAGGCATCAATGAGGTGAGGGCCCAGGCAAGGCTGGGGTGCTGCACATGCCCCCCTGACTGGAGCCCCCCCTTTCCAGCGCCCCCAGAGCAGGTGAGGAGGTGGCTCCGGGCTCTCAGGCAGCCTCCGCCGAGGAGGAGCCCCTGCCGGGACTGTTCGGGGACCATGACGACTGGGACCAGCTCCTGAGCAGCTTCAACAGCCCCTGGCACAGGACCCCGCAGCTCTTGTGGAGCCCGCCCGCCACCCCGACCTCCCCCTCCGCCCCCCAGGCCCCCCGGGTGGTCAGGCAGATCTCCATCTCAGAGCAGCACCACCTGCTGTCTGGCCGGGAGCCGTCTCCAGACCCCGATGCGGCCCCCAGGAGCCCCCCGGGGCCGGCTGCCGGGCCCGAGGAGGGGAGCGGAGAGGATGCAGGTGGGCAGGGCGGCAGTGCAGGGCGGCCCGCGGAGCCGCGCAGCGAGCTCCCTCCAGAAGAGCCGGGGCCCGGCCCCGAGAGCCGCTTCTTTGGGGAGCCACTTCTCCCCGAGGCTCCGGCGGGGGGGTCAGGGCGCCTGGTGGCAGCGGCACTCAAAGTGCTTGTTCCTCGGGGGGACGGCGCCCCTCCCCAGGGGACTTCTCCCCCTGCCCAGGCCCCGGCTGGGCCCAGCACACAGTCCCAGACGGCAGACCCAGAGGACAAGGACTCCTGGATGGGGCCTGTCCCAGCCAAGCTGCCTAGGCAGAGGGAAGCCCTGCTCCAGGGCCCTCAGACTGCAGGCTCCACCCCGGGACTGGAGCCCAGAGGGGCCAGACTCCTCCCGGCAGTGTCCACCCAGGGCCTGGAGAGTGAGGTTGAGGCCCCACTGTCTGATCCCTTAGAGGGTCCGGGGAGTGTAGCTGAGCCCTCAGAAGGTCTGGAGGGTGTGGCTGAGACCTCAGAGGGTCTGGAGGGCGAACTAACCCTGTCTGAACCCTCAGAGAGTCTGGAGGGTGTGGCTGAGCCCTCAGAGGGTCTGGAGAGTGTTCCTGAGCCTTCAGAGGGTTTGGGGTATGTGGCTGAGATTACCCTCTTTGAGCAGTTACCCTCTTTGAGGTTACCCTCTTTCAGACAGCGTGAGGTTCCCCTGTCTGAGCCCTCAGAGGGTCTGGAGGGTGTGGCTGAGCCCTCAGAGGTTCTGGGGATTGAGGTTCCCCTGTCTGAGCCCTCAGAGGGTCTGGAGGGTGAGGCTGAGCACACAGAGGGTCTGGAGGGTGTGGCTGAGGCCTCAGAGGGTCTGGCGGGTGTGCCTGAGCCCTCAGAGGTTTTGGGGATTGAGGTTCCCCTGTCTGAGCCCTCAGGGGGTCTGGAGAGTGTGGCTGAGGCCTCAGAGAGTCTGGAGAGTGTTCCTGAGCCTTCAGAGGGTTTGGGGTATGTGACTGAGGTTACCCTCTTTGAGCAGTTACCCTCTTTGAGGTTACCCTCTTTCAGACAGGGTGAGGTTCCCCTGTCTGAGCCCTCAGAGGGTCTGGACGGTGTGGCTGAGACCTCAGAGGGTCTGGAGGGCAAGGTTCCCCTGTCTGAGCCCTCAGAGAGTCTGCAGGGTGTGGCTGAGGCCTCAGAGGGTCTGGAGTGTGAGGCTGAGCCCACAGAGGGTCTGGGGGGTGTGACTGAGCCCTCAGAGGGTCTGGAGGGTGTGGCTGAGGCCTCAGAGGGTCTGGGGTATGTGACTGAGATTACCCTCTTTGAGCAGTTACCCTCTTTGAGGTTACCCTCTTTCAGACAGGGTGAGGTTCTACTGTCTGAGCCCTCAGAGGGTCTGGAGTGTGAAGCTGAGCCCACAGAGGGTCTGGAGGGTGAGGCTGAGCCCACAGAGGGTCTGGAGGGTGAGGCTGAGCCCACAGAGGGTCTGGGGGGTGTGACTGAGCCCTCAGAGGGTCTGGGGGGTGTGACTGAGCCCTCGAAGGGTCTGGGGGGTGTGACTGAGCACTCAGAGGGTCTGGAGGGTGTGGCTGAGGCCTCAGAGGGTCTGGAGGGTGAGGTTCCCCTATCTGAGCCCTCAGAGGGTCTGGAGGGTGTTCCTGAGCCTTCAGGGGGTCTGGGGTATGTGGCTGAGGTTACCCTCTTTGAGCAGTTACCCTCTTTGAGGTTACCCTCTTTCAGACAGCGTGAGGTTCCCCTGTCTGAGCCCTCAGAGGGTCTGGGGGGTGTGACTGAGCCCTCAGAGGTTCTGGGGATTGAGGTTCCCCTGTCTGAGCCCTCAGAGGGTCTGGAGGGTGAGGCTGAGCACACAGAGGGTCTGGAGGGTGTGGCTGAGGCCTCAGAGGGTCTGGAGGGTGTGCCTGAGCCCTCAGAGGTTTTGGGGATTGAGGTTCCCCTGTCTGAGCCCTCAGGGGGTCTGGAGAGTGTGGCTGAGGCCTCAGAGAGTCTGGAGAGTGTTCCTGAGCCTTCAGAGGGTTTGGGGTATGTGACTGAGGTTACCCTCTTTGAGCAGTTACCCTCTTTGAGGTTACCCTCTTTCAGACAGGGTGAGGTTCCCCTGTCTGAGCCCTCAGAGGGTCTGGACGGTGTGGCTGAGACCTCAGAGGGTCTGGAGGGCAAGGTTCCTCTGTCTGAGCCCTCAGAGAGTCTGCAGGGTGTGGCTGAGGCCTCAGAGGGTCTGGAGTGTGAAGCTGAGCCCACAGAGGGTCTGGGGGGTGTGACTGAGCCCTCAGAGGGTCTGGAGGGTGTGGCTGAGGCCTCAGAGGGTCTGGGGTATGTGACTGAGATTACCCTCTTTGAGCAGTTACCCTCTTTGAGGTTACCCTCTTTCAGACAGGGTGAGGTTCCACTGTCTGAGCCCTCAGAGGGTCTGGAGTGTGAAGCTGAGCCCACAGAGGGTCTGGAGGGTGAGGCTGAGCCCACAGAGGGTCTGGAGGGTGAGGCTGAGCCCACAGAGGGTCTGGGGGGTGTGACTGAGCCCTCAGAGGGTCTGGGGGGTGTTACTGAGCCCTCAGAGGGTCTCGGGGGTGTGACTGAGCCCTCAGAGGGTCTGGAGGGTGTGCCTGAGCCCTCAGAGGTTCTGGGGATTGAGGTTCCCCTGTCTGAGCCCTCAGGGGGTCTGGAGAGTGTGGCTGAGGCCTCAAAGGGTCTGGAGAGTGTTCCTGAGCCTTCAGAGGGTTTGGGGTCTGTGACTGAGGTTACCCTCTTTGAGCAGTTACCCTCTTTGAGGTTACCCTCTTTCAGACAGGGTGAGGTTCCCCTGTCTGAGCCCTCAGAGGGTCTGGACGGTGTGACTGAGCCCTCAGAGGGTCTGGGGGGTGTGACTGAGCCCTCAGAGGGTCTGGACGGTGTGGCTGAGCCCTCAGAGGGTCTGGAGGGTGTGGCTGAGCCCTCAGAGGGTCTGGGGTATGTGGCTGAAGTTACCCTCTTTGAGCAGTTACCCTCTTTGAGGTTACCCTCTTTCAGACAGAGTGAGGTTCCCCTGTCTGAGCCCTCAGAGGGTCTGGGAGGTGAGGTTCCCCTTTCTGAGCCCTTAGAGGGTCTGGAGGGTGTGGCTGAGGCATCGAAGGGTCTGGAGGGTGTGCCTGAGCCTTCAGAGGGTCTGGGGTATGTGGCTGAGATTACCCTCTTAGAGCAGTTACCCTCTTTGAGGTTACCCTCTTTCAGACAGCGTGAGGTTCCCCTGTCTGAGCCCTCAGAGGGTTTTGGGGTGGTGGCTGAGCCCTCAGAGGGTCTGGAGGGTGTGCCTGAGCCCTCAGAGGTTCTGGGGATTGAGGTTCCCCTGTCTGAGCCCTCAGGGGGTCTGGAGAGTGTGGCTGAGCCCTCAGAGAGTCTGGAGAGTGTTCCTGAGCCTTCAGAGGGTTTGGGGTATGTGACTGAGGTTACCCTCTTTGAGCAGTTACCCTCTTTGAGGTTACCCTCTTTCAGACAGGGTGAGGTTCCCCTGTCTGAGCCCTCAGAGGGTCTGGACGGTGTGACTGAGCCCTCAGAGGGTCTGGAGAGTGTGGCTGAGCCCTCAGAGAGTCTGGAGAGTGTTCCTGAGCCTTCAGAGGGTTTGGGGTATGTGACTGAGGTTACCCTCTTTGAGCAGTTACCCTCTTTGAGGTTACCCTCTTTCAGACAGGGTGAGGTTCCCCTGTCTGAGCCCTCAGAGGGTCTGGATGGTGTGGCTGAGACCTCAGAGGGTCTGGAGGACAAGGGTCCCCTATCTGAGCCCTCAGAGAGTCTGCAGGGTGTTGCTGAGCCCTCAGAGGATCTGGACGGTGTGTCTGAGTCTTCAGAGGGTCTGGAGGGTGTGGCTGAGCCCTCAGAGGGTCTGGAAGGTGAGGTTCCCCTTTCTGAGCCCTCAGAGGGTCTGGAGGGTGAGGCTGAGCCCTCAGAGGGTCTGGAAGGTGAGGTTCCCCTTTCTGAGCCCTCAGAGGGTCTGGAGGGTGTGGCTGAGGCCTCAGAGGGTCTGGTGGGTGTGGCTGAGGTTACCCTCTTAGAGCAGTTACCCTCTTTGAGGTTACCCTCTTTCAGACAGGCTGAGGTTCTCCTGTCTGAGCCCTCAGAGGGTCTGGGAGGTGAGGCTGATGTTCCCACACAGGGGGTGGCACCTCAGGGTGAGCCAGGCCCGGAAGTGCTGGAGGGCCTGAGGGAAGCTCCTGGCCAGGCCAAGCCATGCGGGCCGCCTGCCCCCCCACAGCAGAGTCTGGAGGAGGAGCCGGGGGAGGAGGAGAGGAAACAGGGGGGCCGACGCAGGCGAGGCCTCAATTCAGAGCCGCCGGCTGAGGCTGGGGTCCTGAGGACGGGGCACTCAGAACTCTCCCAGCCACGCTCCCTGCCCGCCCCTCTCCCAGCTGACACAGCGCAGGCTCAGGCTGAGGCCGCAGGCCCTGCTCCCGGAAGACCATCCCCTCCAAGGGACTCTCCCCCTCTGGGGGCTCAGCCCGAGGGTGGGGCAGGGCCCCAGCCGCCCGAGAACACCCTGCCCAGCACCCTGCCCAGCACGGAGGCTGCGCTTCAAGCCCAACCCGGGCCGCCACCCACAGCCGCTCCGGCGGAGGGGGAACAAGGCCCCCCACAGCCCCGGGCGCCGCGGGCAGACAACCGGCCTGAAGACCCAGGAGCAGGCTCTGGGGGCGCTGGGCTGACCCTCACCCCAGGGGTCCCCACGGGCAGCGAGTCTCCAGCCGAACCCGATCACATCTTCCACGTCATCTTCCTGGGAGACTCGAACGTGGGCAAAACCTCCTTCTTGCACCTGCTGCACCAGAACACCTTCGCCTCGGGGCTGACAGCCACAGTGGGTGAGCGCCCGTCCTGGGGGGATGCAGGGGGGAGAAGGGGAGGCTCAGGGCCCTGGCCAGCGAGCCGAGCAGGAGCAAGAGCAGGCCGGAGCGAGCACCCTGGGGAGCTACAGTCTGTCCTGGCCCAGGCCCTGCTCTAGATAATCTATATGGGATACTCGTACCATTTTACTAATCCTCTCTAATTACAGGTAATTTGCTTTGATCTGATTAGCTTTTAATGTGCCACATCAACAAAGCACCCTGCAATTTAGGTGCCAGCGCTGATGGATGGTGAAAGCAAGAGGGTCCCACCCACATGGCTGGGGGGAAGGCAGGGCCCTGCAGGGTCACCCTGGTTACATGTGGTCAGGACCAGCCCCTGCTGGTCAGCCTTGGGCACGTTGAATGTTTTACACAGAAGGCGCTTGTGGCACTCCGGGAAGCTGGGTGCCTGAGTTTGTATCTCGTGCTGCCACTTACTAGCCATAGGAACCTGCACAAGTGACTTAAGCCCCTGAACCCCCAAACCCTCACCTGCATAATGGGCACAACAGGGGTGCCGGCTTGCTAGAGCGGTTGTAAGGATGAGCTCTTAGTATGCATCAAGCTCTGAGAATCATGCCTGGCACCTAGTGCTGATCCACACCAGTTATTTGTATTGTTGTTAGCATGAGTATTTGAGAAGGTCTCATTCAGCGGCTCCTGCCAGTGAGACGTGCCGAAGCACAAAGCTTCTTCTCCCTGGAGGACCGGGATGTGTAGCCACTGAGTGTGGAAGGCCCACGAAGGCCAGCCTCTTCAGGACGAAGAGGGAGTGAGGCCATCTTTGTGTCAGTCAGGGTCACGTGACCAGGACCGCAAGGATGATGATGGCCCACATGCAAGAGAGGCCCAGGACGAGGCCTCGGCTTTTCTCTGCTTACCAATCCCCACCCGGAGCCAGTGAGCAATGCAGTGTCCTGGGAATGGGGACCGATGACAGCCTGCAGGGCCACCCTTGGTAACTTCCTAAGTCAGTGGTCGGCAAAGTCATCAGTCCACAGAGCCAAATACCAACAGCACAACGATTGAAATTCCTTTTGAGAGCCAAATGTTTTAAACTTAAACTTCTAACGCCACTTCTTCAAAATAGACTCGCCCAGGCCGTGGTATTTTGTGGAAGAGCCACACTCAAGGGGCCAAAGAGCTGCATGTGGCTTGTGAACCACAGTTTGCCGACTAGGGGACTAAGCCAATGCACCAGGCATCTTACAACAGGCCCTGCTCCCTTCCCCCCATTCCAATAACCGATTCTCCCCCCATTATCACGTGCTAAGAGGCTTCCAGAAAATTGAATCAAGAAAAACACAGATTGATGCCTCAGTGGTCAGCAAACATATGCGGCTCTTTGGCCCCTTGAGTTTTTAGCAAAGGCCAGCTTAGGAGTACCCTAATTAAGTTAATAACAATGTACCTATCTATATATTTGGCTCTGTTGATTAATGAGTTTGCCGACCACTGGCTTAGCCGATTTGGCTCAGTGAATAGAGCGTCAGCCCACGGTCTTTTCAATTCTGGTCAAGGGCTCATACCTCGGTAGCAGGCTTGATCCTCGACCCTGGTCGGGGTGCATGTGGGAGGCAGCTAATCAATGTGTGTCTCTCACATTGATGTTTCTCTCTCTCTCTCTGTCTCTCCCCTTCCCTTCCACTCTCTCTAAAAAAACAATGGGAAAAATATCCTCAGGTGAGGATTAAAAAAAATAATAAAAAAAATAAATAAAATAAAATAAAATAAGCCCTCTCCATCATCCCCCACCCCACCTGCTTTCCTTTGGGAAGTAGGGGTTGGCAGGAAGTTAAACTCCAAAGATCCCAAACTTCCCCCAGATTTCACTTACCTCCATCTTTCCAGAAAGGGTCTGGAGCCATGACCTCAGGCAGGTGTGGGGCTGTGAAATTCAACGGGCTGGGGTTCAGAGAGACAAAAGCACCACCCCCTCCCAGGAACTGGGCTAAACCTTGGCCATAGTCATTTACTCTTCCCGGCCACCCTGCACGGTGTGATGAGGAAGGGAGACTCAGAGAGGTCTCTGAGGTCACACAGCAGGTACAGGGGCTGAGGGCGGACAACCCACAGCCCACCAGTCACCCCTGGCTGTCTGGTAGGAGGGAGGATGCATGCTGTAACTGGGATATGAAATGAGTATCCTATCTAATAAAGAGGGAATATGCTAATTGATTGCCATGCCCTCAAAGATGGTGGTGCTCAGCCCCCAAGTGCCCAGGCCTGCCCGAGGCTCAGGTAACCAGTGCCGGCAGGCCGAGGCTTGCGCTGCTGGCAGTGGCAGCAGCAGAGGAGGTGTGATGGGGTCATGGCCTTCCCCTGAGGGCTCCCAGACTATGAGAGGGGGCAGGCCAGGCTGAGGGACCCCCCTCCAGTTATAAAACAAAACAATGAAACGGGTTTTCCTGAGGGGACTCAGGAGTACAATGGCTGTGCTCACAGAGATAAAAATAATGTGAGATTAGCACAGGGCTGTGAGCCCAAGGGTTGGGAGGGCGGGAGGTCGGGGAAGCTTCTAGGGAGAACTGGGCCCTTGAGTGTGGATGGGTTTGTGGAGCAGAGGGAAGCAGTGCCACAAGTTCCTGTCCCCTGGGGCCAGGGTGGGGCACTTGGACCGGCCTGGGCTAGCCATCCTGGGTGGTGACTTGAGAGTAACTAACCTTCTCTGTGTGCCCTAGGAGTGGATTTTCGGGTCAAAAACCTGCTGGTGGACAACAAGAACTACGCGCTGCAGCTCTGGGACACGGCTGGCCAGGAGAGGTAGGCCCTGTCTCCCCTCCACGGCGGCCTGAGCTGAGCCTGGGTGCCGGAGGGGGGTGAGGGGAGGCCCTGCCCTGAGGAGGCCAACGTGGGCCAAAGAGACATCACCCCGGGGAGTCAGGGGCTGGGGAGGAGAGTCGGGGGCCGGGGAGAGCCCAGTGGAGAAGACAGGGAGGCCTGAGGCCCCTGGCTTGGTGGGGCTTCTGTGAGGACACCCCAACTGGGCCCTCAGGCCGGCGCCTCGTCCCTGTCTTGCAAACACTGGCCGTTCACTTGCCAGCGGGGGGTGGGAGGGGGGCGGTTTAGCAGTGATCAGACTTGAAAGCACTGCTCTGTACCCAGAGGTTTCCGTCTAGAAACTCTGGTGACTCAGATGATGACATCAAAGGCTCCGAGGCTGCTCACGGCAGCATTTACATCGCAAAGCACTGGCCACCACCCAAAGCATGGCGTGGCTGATGGCCAGTGAGGCAGGCTAGGGTCTGCCCACATGATAGAATGTTATGAAGCCACAAAAGCACCGAGGCCCTCACTGTGGCCCCAAGGGAAACTCCTCCAAGGCCTGCTCTGGCTGGAAAAACACGGCCGGGGTTACTGACCATGAGATGCGAGTGCTTTACTCTGTGCCTGTGTGAACGAGGGCCAAGGGCCGGTGCGTGTACGCGTGCACAGATATGTGTGTGCATGCACATTTAGGAATATGCACGAAGCACCTCTAGGGAAGCATTTAAGAAGCTGGTGGCTCCGGCTGCCGCTGGGGAGGGGGTCGGCGGCTGCAGAGCGGCAGGGGGAGGCTTCCATGGGGGCCCTTCGGTCCCTTTGGCAATCTGAGCCGTGAGAGCTGTCACCTATTCGCCAATAACCACAGCGTGAGGGGGCAGGCGCGTGCACACTGTTGTGGGAAGCAACGAGAAGCAGGAAACGCTAACCCTCCTCGATGGCAATGGAGCGGCCCCGCAGGCCGGCTCACTCGGACCCCCGCAGGTACCACAGCATGACGCGGCAGCTGCTCCGGAAGGCCGACGGTGTGGTGCTCATGTATGACGTCACGTCCCAGGAGAGCTTCGCCCACGTGCACTACTGGCTGGACTGTCTCCGGGTGAGCAGGCGGTGGCGGGGGCCGGCCCAGGTCCCGCCGTCAGGAGGGAACTTGCGTCCTGCCCGCTCTGCCCTTCCCCCGGGATGGCAGACGGTACCACAGACATGCAGGGGCCACCGCTCCCCGCGGGCCTGTGACTGGATGGCCTGGGAGTGGTACTCGGGAGCCACAACCTCACAGCACAGCCTCCAAAACAAACGTCTCCCTCCGTCCTACGAGCATTTCTCTTTTTTTAATTTTAAAATATGTTTTATTGATTTTTTTTTTTTTTAGAGAAAGGAAGGGAGAGGGATAGAGCACGAGAAACATCGACCAGCTGCCTCCTGCACACCCCCCACCGGGGATGTGCCTGCAACCAAGGCACATGCCCCTGACCGGAATCGAACCTGGGACCCTTCCGTCCGCAGTCCGACGCTCTATCCACTGAGCCAAACCGGTTTCGGCTCGATGTCTTCTTAACCCCTGGGGATGAGGCAGTTCTGGTGCCACTTGAGGCGGCACTTCCTCTGTCCACACATCCCTAGGTCTTTCCCCGTGTGCTCAAGGGGCACATAGCTGCTGAAATCCTGCAGCGTGTGCCGGCACAGCAGAGGGATGTGAAGTAAGATACGGGGTCTTCTTTCTAGAAGCTCCTAGTGGAAGAGGTGCAAAAGGAGTGAGATAAGGTCATATACAAAGGCAGCTGGGTTCTAGGGTCAGACCGGGCCCATCTATCCCACCCAAGTCAGTGACAGCCTCTCCGGACTTCCCTTTCCCGGCTTCTCTCCTGGACTCGTGAAGCTCATGGGTACCATCGCTCTCAGCACAGCGCCCCGTAGATAGCCAGCACTCTGTGAATAGAAGCTGTTATTATTGCTCTCCATGAAACAAATAGGAAAAGAACCAAGACACCCTGTGTCAGCCAGCACTGGGCGGCTGCGCACAGGCAGGCAGAGAGGGGCCTGGGCAGGATCAATCCATGAAGGCTTCCTGGGCGAGGGGGCTTTGAGGTTGGCATGTTTGCAGGCAGAGAGGAGGCAGCCTCACGGCAGATGGGGGGGAATGTCCAGGTGGGGAGGCTGTAGAGGGAGGGCGACAGGAAAGGTGGTGTCTGTGGGGGCAGGAGGCACGCTGCCAGCTTCCTGGAGGTCAGGGCCAGGTCCACCCAGGCCTGGCACACAGCAGGCACTGGCGGGTGTGCTGAGGGAATGTGTTCTGTGTGCAGGACTCAGGGCCTGACGGAGTGGCCATCCTTCTCTTGGGAAACAAGATGGACCGTGAGGAGGAGCGGCAGGTGTCCACCGAGGCGGGGCAGCAACTGGCCCAGGTGAGCCCCTGCGTGTCGGCCTCTCCCGGCCTGGACCAGGCAGACCCCTCCCTGGGGGACAGTGAAAAGGTCCCCCTGGCCCAGCCGGCGTGGCTCAGTGGTTGATCATCTTGAATCCCAATCAAGGCACATGCCCGGTTACAGGCTTGATCCCCAGTGGAGTGTGCAGGAGGCAGCCAGTCAATGATTCTCTCTCATCATTGAAGTTCTCTCTCTCTCTCTCTCTCTCTCTCTCTCTCTCTCTCTCTCTCTCTCTCTCTCTCTCTCTCTCCTTCCTTCCCTCCATCCCTCTCCCTTCCTCTCCGAAATCAATTAAAAATTTTTAATTTTTTTAAAGAGAAGGACCCATGGGTCATTTCTGCCCCTGCCCAGCCAAAGGCCAGGTCAGCGTGGGCAGCAGCCTGGCACCTCTGCCTCCCTCCCACCCCAGCCTCAGGCCCAGACCTGAGTGACGGTGGCCCCCGCATGGAGCCTCACTGCCGAGTCTGCAGACCCACACCTGGTGTCCCAACCTACGTCAAAAATAGCCTCAGAGCAAAAAGGTTTTAAAAGCTTCACTTAAAACTCCCCGATGGAACCCTAATTTTATCTCTGGCCTCTCATTAGCATAACATTCCTTCTAATTTAATCTATTTTAAGACTCAGATTCTTCCCCAGGAAGATTAACATCAAAAGCCCCGCCACCAGACCGTGGTTACTATTTATTTATGAATAGAAGCTGACGAAACATCTGGAGAATAATAACGAGAAAATAGAAAAATAAAAAGGAGCCACTCCCTGCCCCACCTCTGCCCCCAGCCCTGCCCTCGCTCTCCTCTCTGCCGCCTGCCTGCCCGTGAGCTCATCGTGGTGGCGCCTGCGGGGCGGGACTGTTTTTTTCTCTGAGAGCAGTAGCTCATCCCTGTGACACAGTAATTCCTCCTCTAGCCATTTACCCTAAAAGCAGCATAAATAACAGTCCCTGGGAATAGCGTGATGGAGCCCCATGCACAATGTGTAATCAGACATGTTTACGCAGACGTGTTTATAAGGAAGGCACCGGGCAGCGGGGAGTTAGATCGTGGAGTTCCCGTGAGAGGCCGGCGCTGGCCTGGGGAACCCTGCCCTGGGGGACGGGGACGGGCTCGGAGGAAGTGCTTCCCCCATAACAGGCACAGATCGGGTCCACCCTAGGAGGCTGCTGGAATCTGAGAGCTTGGAGCCTCTAAAACAGCAGTTTCCTTGGCTTAATCTAATGGCTAAACGGCGTCTAGGCTTCCCCCATTAAAGGGTTATATAAAACAATGGAAATATATATGCCAACAGGAGTGGTTTATATTGTGTACTTTTTTAATGCTGTCTTTTCTAATATTCCCCCCCAATTAAATACGATTGAAACGAACAACATAACGAATGGTTTAAAAGCATCGCAGACATTTCTCCAAGCCAGGACACGGTGTTCCCAGGGTGGCCCTGCCAGCGGGGAGGGGCGGCCGGCGAGGGGCGAGGCTGGGAACTTGGGCCACGCGGAGATGGGCTGCCTTACCCCGTGGTCGGCCTCGGGACCTGCTGGCGGGACTCTGTCCGGGCCGGGCCGTGGTGGCGGGCTGCCTGCCAGACCCCAGGTCTCCCCCAGGGCACCCACACGTCTGTCTGCCCGCAGGAGCTGGGGCTGTCCTTCGGGGAGTGCAGCGCGGCCCTGGGTCACAACATCCTGGAGCCCATGGTGAGCCTGGCCAGGTGAGTGCCCCACCACACCCTGAGCCCCAGCTCGGAGGACAAGCACCCAGGAAGCCACAGGGCTGCCCAGTGTGGAGAGCTGCCAGTTCCATCAGCCCATTCCACCACCCCATCTGGGCTCGGAGCCTCAGTTTACTCATGGCAAAGTGTTCCCAACCCTCTAGTGACTCCTGCAGGATTTATAATACAGTGCTATGCCTCACAACATCCTGCCTTACACACACACACACACACACACACACACGTACACACACACACACGCACACACACACACGTACACACACACACGCACACACACACGCATACATACACACACTCACGCGCACACACCTGTGCGCACACGTACGTACAGACATGCACACTTGCGTGCACACACTAAGCTTCAGCCCCTCAGAGGGCCTCCCTGACCACCCCCTCCCCCAACTATGCGGGATCTCAAGTCTCTGTCCTTCAAAGCGTTGGGGTACAATTTATAATTATTTGTCTGTTTTCCTGCTGCCAGCTGCCTCCTCCCGGCCGCAGGCTGGAGATCCTGGGGGCATGGCTCTGTCTGTTTTGTTTGGCCCCTCCCCCTCCCCCTGGGACCGGGCAAACACTAGGTGCTCAATAACCGAATGGAGAGTCAGAGCAGGAGGATCAGACCTGATGACCTCAGGCTCCTTCTCTGTGAAGTGACTGCAGAGACTGGCTCGTCTGTAAGCCGTCAGCCACGCTCTCCTCTGGCAGAAACTGCTCCCCGGCTCCCCTGTGCTTTGGGACGGGAGCCCCCCAGAACCTGAGCCTGCTGCCCCCAGGCTTCCTCTGGCCACTCAGCCCTCCGCTCTGTGATTTAGCAGAGGGCCCAGAACATAGTAAATATATATCGTGCTGTGGTTTTCAAACATATTTTTATTGATTTCAGAGAGGAAGGGAGCGGGGGAGAGAGATAGAAACATCAATGATCGGCTGTAAACACGCTGTGAATGAATGAATGAATGAATGAATGAACGAATGAGTGAATGAACTCGAACGGGAATCTTTTACCTTCCCCATCCCCAAGCTCTCTCTTCACACGGAGGGATCCTACCCCTTTTCTGCTGGCAAACCTTGGCCCACTGCTGGGTCTCAGCGCAGACTCTGCCTCCCTCCTCCCTCCTCCCTCACCCCTGGGCCTGGTGTGAAGTCCTCTGGGTGCTTCGCTCTCCTGGGTCCTGATCCACCGTCCCCTCTGCCTCCCCCGCTGCCCCAGGCCAGGACATGCTGGCTTCACGGTCACATCGGAGTCCCTGGCACCCAGCCTGGCATGTAGCAGGCTGGACAGAACGCCAGAAAAGAGACGGAACCCACCGTCTCCGCGGCCCCGATTTCTGGTGCCGGTGGCGTGTAGGGCGGGGGAGAGCAGGGAGGAGAGAGGCAGCTCAGGGCCCAGCTCTCCTGTCCCCCAGCTGCACCCCCGCCCACCCCCCTGCTGCCCCGGGAGCTGAGAGCGATCTCCTGTCCCCCAGCTGCACCCCTGCCCCCCCCCCCCCTGCTGCCCCGGGAGCTGAGAGCGAGGCTGATGCCTGGGTGGTCGTGCAGGTCACTCAAGAGGCAGGAGGACCTGCTGAAGGGCGCCCTGGTGGAGGTGGCCCCCAAGAAGCCGCCGAAGAAAGCTGGCTGCTGCTCCTGACCGCTGGCCTGGCTCGGGGACGGCCTCCTGGCTCGCCCGCCTGGACTGCACGCTGGAGGCCTGCTCAGGAGACCCGGAGAATCCTCCCGGTCAGGGCTCGGACCCAGGGCCGGGGCCGCGCTAATGCTGCCCTTCGCTCCCCGAAGAAGGACTTTGCTGAGCGAATAACCCTCGGGGTGGGGGAAAGGAAAAGCCTAGAGAAACAGCGTAAGGCAAACATGCCACAGTGTGAGCCACCGTCGGGCAGCGGAATGACAGGATGGCTGTGGGGCAGTGTTTTCCTCTTTCACGCATTTGTCCTTTTGGGTCTTCTGCGATGACGGGTGTTCCCGTAGAGCCGGAAATAAAACGTGTGCTGAGGGGAAGACGCTGTTCCAGGGTCTTGCTTTGGTGCTGATTCCCAGCCGGCATCGCTGTTAGCGACCCAGTCCTCTGCCCGCTAAAGCCGCCCGCTGTTCGCTGCTCGCTGGGAAAGGCCGTGGCCTTGCTGCACTCCGGAGCTGTCTGGGAGCTCGGCGTTTCCTCCAGAAGCACGGATTCCTGGGGAGAGCCATGTCCTCTGGTCCCTGACCGATCCCGGCACTTCCTGAGCCCCAGCCCTTCCCACAAGCTCTGCCTCGAAGGGATCCCGCCCCCGCCCAAGGCCAGTGCCCCCTGGTGCAGCCCTCAGCCCCAGGCGTCAGTCTCTGGGTGCCCGGAGGCACAGCTGGGGGTGAGGGGGGCAGGGAGCCGCTGGGGAGCCTGGGTGCGGCTGGGCAGAGCTGCTGTGGGGGTTCCCAGTCTCACGGCTGGCTCCGGCGGCCCCGCCCGGGTGGGACAACCTCCCACAGGGCGATTGCTGCCCATGTCCTGCTCCTCGCCTGGTGAACACAGCCATGCTCACCGCGCTGCGGGCAGCGGGCAGGCACCGAGCCGGGTCCTTTGCTATCCGTTGGGTGAATTCCTCAGCTGAATCAGAGGAAACCCCAGCTTCACAGCGAGACAAGCACAGACACCTAGAGAGACAGCGGCACCAGGAGAGGAGAAAGCGGAGAGTGGGAGGCGGCGGCCGGCGGGCGCCTTCCTGCCGTTTGATCACCGCCTCCGCCTGCCCCATCCCACCGCTCCAGTCTCTGAGGCACCGACGCTGAAGCAAGGCGACACGTGGCCAGGGGTGAGGTGGAGAAATTCAGGCATCAGAAGCCGCCAAGCTGGGACCAGATGCCCCTAATAGACTTCTTTCGACCTCTGGCCTGTGTGCAGGCTGATTCCGAAGCCCAGCCTGTCCTGTCGCCAGCCCTGGCTGATCCTGTCCCCGAAGTGTCTTCTCCTCTGAGTCAGCCCTCGGCCTGCCACTCGGAGCAGTCCCCAGGCTGTGGTGCTCAGAGCAAGACACACAGAAAGCCGGGCTGCAGTGAGGGCTGCCTGGCCCTGCACGGGGGTGGGGCAAGTCCTGCTCTTGCTAACGGCTCTTTCTCTGGGGTCCAGGGTGCTGGTAGGCAGCGACCTCTGTCCTAAGGGTCAGAGTCAGGGAGGCAGGCAGGGAATGACTCCCGAGGGGCCAGGAGAGCAGGCAGGGCCCTGTCCTTTGGGGACCCAGTGCACAAGTGGCCCAGGCCTGCCCCTTCTCTCTCCACTCTGCCCCGGCTCAGGCAGCTGCTAGAAGGTGCCAGAAGGGTCTGCACTCGTGTCCAGAACCCCCTTGGCTTCCTCTGCTGAGTCCAGCTTCCGTACAGAGCACGCTGTGGAGGGTCACAGGGTCAGCGTCAGAGCCCAGCAGCCCCAGAGCAGCACGAGGCAGCGGGCAGCAGCAGAAGGGACTCCAGGGAGACTGCAGAGTGGACTCCCGGGCAAGCGGTGAGTTCTCAGCACTTGCCAGCCACGGGGGCTCAGGTCACATGCCAGCCACGGGGACTCAGGTCACATGCCAGCCACGGGGGCTCAGGTCACATGCCAGCCACGGGGGCTCAGGTCACATGCCAGCCACGGGGGCTCAGGTCACATGCCAGCCATGGGGGCTCAGGTCTCAGCGTGGCTTGAGGCTGATTGAGAAAAGAGGGGTGAGCCCCTACCCCTGTGGCTCAGTTGGCTGAGCATCGTCCCAGTCACCGAAAGGTTGCTGGTTCGATTCCCAGTCAGGGCACATGTGGAAGGCAACCAATCAATGCTCCTTTCTCGCAATGTTCCTCTCTCTCTTTCTCCCTTTCCCTCTCTCTAAAACTCAATAAAATGAATTTTTTTAAAATAAATAAAAGAAGGGTGGGACCAGGCAGGGTCCACTGCGCTGGGTCCCCAGCACCTGGCCCAGGGTTAACACTCAGGAAATACTCATTTGTTGAGATACGGGCCGGACTCTCCCCACTGCAGACTGGAGGGCATCCATCCTCCCCTCAAGGCAGCAGGAGGCGACACCAGCAGTGCGCTGACTCTGGGTCTGCATCCCGTCTCCCAGGCTGTGTCCTCCCAATCAGGTGCTCCCTGCCCTCGGCATGAGGGTGGAGTGGGGGTGAGGAGGGAGGTAACAGCTGGGATGCAGCCCTCCCCACCCCGCAAACGGTAGAGGCTCTAAGTGGCCGCCAAACCCCCGACCAATAAATCATGTCTCTGGGATTGGGACTCGTGCATTAGCCTTTTCAAATGCCTCAAGTGACTCCAAAGTGCAGACAAATTTGGGAAAAGTGGTCAGGACTTGTCTCCTTTTCAAAGCCCTTGGCACCCACTTTCATACATGAATCTCAAGTTAAAATCTCCTGTTTCAAGGTCAAGGTCTTTTTGCTCAAAGAAGAAAGCATGCATCTTCTCCGTCTCCATCTCCATCTCCACCTCCGCTTCCACCTCCATCCATGATATTTATCTATTAGATTCCATTTGTACTCAATGAAGAAATTTTAGAAATAAGAAATTAAAAAGGAAAAAAAGGAAAATTACGTGGCTCTCGCCCTTTAGCGACAGTGACTGTTGACATACCGGTCGTTTGTTTTCTTTATCTCCTCACTTCTTACAGTTGAGGAAACCAAGGTAGAGAAACATTAGGTTTCTCCCAAGGTCCTGGATCTACCAGGTAGCAGAGCCGGGATTGGAACCCCGGGCCTTGGCAGAGCCCGTCCCAGCGGGTTGCTGTGAGGCCTGAAGGGGATAACCCCTGTCCAGGGCGTCTCCTGTACGAAGGGGTCTGGGGAAAGATTGGGCTCCACAGGGGAAAGAGGGAGGCGGCCCTCCGGCTGCTTTCTATGCGTCCTTATGTGTCTGGAGCAGAATAGAGCCCGGTGCCATGCCACTGCTGGGCCCACAGCTGCACCCGAGTGACTGCTTTGCCTGGCTCTTTGGCCTCAGCCTGCCGGTGGGGCTGCCGGGCAATGGGCTCATGCTGCTGATGGTGGCCCGGGGCCCAGGTCTGCCCACCAGACCCTGCCTGCTCCTCACCCTGACTAACAGCCTCCCCTCCTCTGCCTGCCTTCCCCCAGCTGTCACACACTAACCTCCCGGCCCAGTGAGGGAACACAAATAGTCAGCCACGGCGCCATGAGTCTGGGCCTGTGGATTTCTGAGTGCCTTCTCCTTCCTGCGTGGCTGGAGAAGGGGCCCCTTCGAGGCCCTTCCTTCTCTGCAGAGCAAACAGAGGCCTCCATCTCTCCTCCTCCGAATCTACGCGCTCTCTCTGGCCTCCTGGGAGCAGGCTCAGGCTTGTGTGTTGGCCTGGGAACCAGGAATATTGTCTCCACTGAAATTCCCAGACAGCTTGGTCTGCTTGGTAATAGTGCTACAGCAAAGCACACTCACACACACACACACACACACACACACACACACACACGCACACTGACTCCACGGTCAAACTCTGGGCTGAACCAAGTCAAACTGGTCTCTTTGCTGCAGGACTTATCAGAGCCACTTGGCTTTTCTGAGAGGCGCTCAGAGCTGGCAGTTCCCTAAAACCCATGCCAGGGAACCGGTGTGCCATGGAACACACCCTGGGAAAGAACCCGGGGAGGAGTTACCGTGTGGAGCACAATAAAGAGGCTCTCGCACCCCGAGGCCGTGGCTCCGAGCCTCGGTCCCCCCGCCAGGTGGGCACCGCTCAGCGCCCCAGGGGAGGTAAAATGGGCGCCGGCCGTGGGAACACCCCTCTTCCCGAGCCGTGCCCGTGCCCTGTTCCCACTCCAGCACATAGGAATGCACGTCCGAGGAGCAGCTAATCGCAGGGATGGCCAGGGTGAGCTACTTTACTACGAGATCCTAAGAACTCAATAAGTCCCAAACGTTGGTCGAATCAGTACCAAATTTCTGTGGTGTGCACATCACGATGGCTCCGGGAGGCCTAATCTGAGAGCACACCGGGCCCCGATGGCCTCAGTGACTTCCATGTGGAGCGGGACAAGGAGGAAAGGGTCTGTTTGTAGCCACAGCGCAGCGGTCCTGGGTCCGGCTCACGCTCCACGTGTGCACAGCTACCTGTCCCTCGTCCGGCCACACCCTAACCTTGGGAGGGAGGAGTGAGGAGAGGAGCAGTAGCCATCCTGGCTCATGGCCTGTGAGTTGCCCGCAGACCCTGGCCCCGCCCACTGGCTTGGCTGGGGGGTGGGGGTGGGGGGTCCCCAGGGAGTAGGAGGACCTTGCCCACTGCTCCAGAGCAAGGGCAGTGCCCTGAGGATGCAGTGGTGTGAGCCAGGCTCTCTGCCCCCGAGGGGCCTGGCACTAATGCTCAGCCAATGCTTGCTGAAAGGTGAGTGAGTGAATGATCAAGTGCAATGAAGTGACCCACTTGTTCTACTTACTTATTTTTAAAAAATATATATTTTATTGATTTTTTACAGAGAGGGAGAGAGAGAGAGATAGAGAGCCAGAAACATCGATGAGGGAGAATCATTGATCAGCTGCCTCCTGCACACCCCCCAATGGGGATGTGCCCACAACCAAGGTACATGCCCTTGACCGGAATCGAACCCGGGACCTTTCAGTCCACAGGCTGATGCTCTATCCACTGAGCCAAACCGGTTCCAGCTACTTACTTATTTTTAAGGTAGCTCTACGATTTGGGGGAAGGGGACATGTTAACATCTAAATAAATCCCTCGTTGTTGCTTGTTTGTTTTTCCCCATTCATTCTAGACAACAATCTGATCGTGTTACCTTGTTCTCCTCCAATGAGCCACACTGAGGCCTTGCCATGTGCCCGGGTTCCTCAGCTCCCTGACCTGAGCCCCCACACCAGCCCTTCTCCCTGCAGCTCCACCCACACGGGCCTCCTGCTGTCCTCCGAGCACACCAAGCACGCCCACCTCAGGGCCTTTGCACTGCTGCTCCCTTTACGTGGAGCGCTCCTGCCTCCCTCTCTCATTTCCTTAGGACTCATTCCAACGGCACCTCCTCAGAGAGGCCCTCACGGACTACTTCCCCTAAACTATTACCCTGGCCCTAGCTGGTGTGGCTCAGTGGATAGAGCGTGTGGACTGAAGGGTCCCGGGTTCGATTCCGGTCAAGGGCATGTACCTAGGTTGCAGATCCGAGCCCTGGCCCTGGTCAGGGCGCATGCAGGAGTCAACCAGTCGATGTGTCCCTCTCACATTGATGTTTCTCTCTGTGTCTCCCGCTCCCACTCTCTCTAAAAATCAATAGAAAAATATGCCCAGGTGAGGATTCATAAAATAAAAAATAAATAAAAGATCATCCCATTACTCTCTCTCCTCTTATTCTCTCAAAATGTTTGTAACTTATCACCACCTGGAATTATGCTGTTTGCCTTTGTGTTTATGTGTTTGCCTATGTGCTTGCTGCGTTTTCCTGTTCTGTCTGCGTCTGTGGTAAACTCCACGTGGGGACGGGGTCTGTGATTGGTTCACTGCCACATCCCCGTGCTCAGCACAGACCCTGGCACACGCTTGTGGCTCAATAAATCCTTGTTGAACAAAAGAAGGAAAGAGAGAGAGAGAGAGAGAGAGAGAGAGACGAGAACCTGGGCTCTGCCAAGCAGCAACCTCTGTGCTATCTGTCTCAGGAGAAAGGAAAACAAGGAGCTTTTATAGTAAAAGAACCAAATTTACTTCAGTTTAAGGCAAATTCCACACAGAGACTCTCAGACACAGGCACGGGACCAGACGGCGTAGAAATTCCACCATCATGCATGACGGGAAGGGCGAGGTGCTGGGCGCAGCCAGGGCGGGGCCTGGTCTCGCCCAGGCACAGGGCGTTCGGCGGGCTGAGGAGCCCCATGCGGCAGAGGGACTGGCATGCATGGCCTGCTCCCGGGTGGGGAAAGGCCGGCCGCGGGTGTGCCCAGGGGTGAGATCACCTTCCTCGCTTTCCCCACGGCCGGGGCAGGGGCTCGGGCTCAGAGGATGGAACAGGGACCCTGGGGCCAAGACGGCCTGGAGCAGGAGGTGGCGTGGGGGAGGCTGGGATGGGGAGGTTGGCCCGGGATGGACGGACTCTCAGGGCCTCAGGGCAGAAAGTAACCCCGAGACCATCTGGTCGACCCTCTGCTTTACAGATGTGGATACCAAGGCTCCCCCAGTAGGCAGGGGCTGCAGCCGGGCCTGAGCCCGGGCCCTGGCTCCTGTCTGTGGGGTGAAGGGCCGTGTGGGAGTGCGGGGCTGGGCTGCTCCTGGCGCGGGCCTCTAGGTGGGCGGCAGAGGAGTGGGCACCAAGGACCCTGGGCGGCCTCTGGGGGGAGGTAGGGGTGCCTGGAGCTCGGAGTCCACCGGTGCCCAGGGGCCCCCCGGCCAGGGAGAGGCCGCAGTTCTGGGTCTGGAGCCAGTGCCACGCTGGGCTGGGCTGGGGGGGCACGGAGAAGGCCTTGTGCCTGGAAAGCCTCCATGGCTGGCCCATCGGGCGGCCTGCGGGCCACGGCACAGCCACCCCTTCACGGAGCTGCGAGGTCCCCACTGCGAGCAAGTGTCCCTGCGAGGGCCACACGGCCAGGCCTCCCGCCAACCCGTCCGCCTCCTGGGGCTCACGGGGAACAGGGACAGGGTTGGTGCTGGGGTGGGGGCCGGGGGCTGGGGAGCTGAGTGGACGGCACAGGAGGAGGGAGGGAGAGGGGGCCCGAAGGAGGGAGGCCCCGCCCAGGCTTCAGCGTCCGAGGGGAGCGGAGGGGACTGTCCAGGGTGCTGAGGGGACCCCATCGGCCTGATTGCTAACACCCTCCTGGCTGGGCTAGAACCAGGTGCCAGGGGAGGAGGAGAGGAGCGGGGCTGGAGCCCGCCTCTCCCACCTGCACCCCTGCTCCCTGGGTCCGGGCCCCAGGGGAGGCCAGGAAACGGGAAGGCGCCTCAGAGGCCGGTCCTCAGCCACACGGGTCCCAGCGGCCGGGCCGGGCGATGGTGGGGCTCAGGGACCCAGCGTGCCCTCCTCCGGCCCCCCCAGGCCCAGCGCCCACCGCGGGAGGCTCAGATGGGCGGGTGCCCGGGGGAGGCGGGGGGCGTGCAGGCCGGGGACTGGGAGGGGGAGCCTGCGGGGGCCTCGGGCGGGGGCTGCGGGCGGATGCCCTTGGCCTTCATGTAGGACACCAGCTGGTCCGGGATCTCGGCCAGCACGTCGCGGGCCAGGCGCGCCATGCTCAGCACGTGGTTGCCCGTGCGGTCCACGTAGTCCCTGAAGGGCACGAACTGGCCGGCGGGGGAGGCAGGGTGAGGCGAGGGCTCTGCCTGGACGCAGCCCCCACACCTCCCGGTCGGAGATCATGCTCCCTCCCTCTCCCCCCACCTCTGCCCTCCTCTCTCATCCCCTCCCCCGGGTACCCTGTCACTGCTCTCTCTTCCCACAAACATGAAGAGAGAGCAGTGACAGGGCATGGGCACTGAGCGGGCACTTAGGAGATGCTGAGTGGGTCCCTGGCTTCCGGGAGGTGGGCCCTCAGGCAGCCCCCCTCTGGCAGAGCCCTCTTCCTATGCCAGGCCCCTCTGCCTCTTCCCAGGGGGGTCCCAGGCCCCAGTCACTCCTGCTCAGGCCTTTGCGTCCAGGTGCCACCTCCCAGACCTGCTCTGGCATCTCGCCCCGATCTGGTCTCCACGCCGGACGGACCCTCCCGGCCAGTCTTAAACCCAGGGCATGGAGAGATTTCTTTCCGAATCACCTAGTGGGGGGCTCTGTCCCCAGGGGCTGCGGGAGGGCTGCCTGCTCATGACCCCTGCATCTCACACGGAGACTGAGGGCGCTGTCCCCTAGCCGTTCCCTCCAGGGGCTGCCAGCTGCGGGGGGGAGGCGGGGGGTGTCAGGGGGGCGCCCGGCAGAACACAGAAGGGAGGCGTGCTCTGCAGGAGCCTACGGAGGCCTGGGGTGTAGGGGGGCTGGGCGGGCGATGATAGGGGTGAGTCTCAGGCACGGCTGGGAGCTGAGACCCAAGGACCACCTCCCCTCCTTCTGGGGGGGCGGGCCCCCTGGGCTCGCAGCCCGCCCGCTGGCCATTCCGGAAAAGCCCCCGGGGAGGGGCGGTCAGGGAGGGGCAGCAGGGCTTCACCTGGACGATGTCCCGCTCGGCCAGCTTCCCCCGGGAAGAGATCCGCACCTCATCGCCGTCCAGCTCCACCATGGCTGGGGGGGAGGGGACAGGCATGGGCGAGGGGGCAATCAGGGGCCAATTCCAGGCCCATCCGGGCAGGGACCCATGTCAGGGTCGGGGACACAGAGGCCAGGAAACCGGGGAGCCCACCGGTGAGTGCTGAGTTCCAGCCCCGCCTCCAGCTCCGGCTCCCAGGCTCCCAGATGGGGGAGGGGGGGAGTCGCCTGGACTCCTCTCCGCAGCCTCGCAGCCTCGGGGTGTGGGTGCGGGCGCCCTGACACAGGACCCGGTGCAAACACCCGCCTGCTGCTGAGCACACAGGCCGGTGGGCGCGCTCCCTGTGGGCCGGGGCCCCGCCGGGGCCGGAGCCTCCGGAGCGGGGGTGGGGACTCACCATCGAACTCTGCCTGGCCCACGCCGACGATGATGATGGACATGGGCAGCTTGGCAGCCTGTGAGACAGCAGGAGGTGGGTGTTTGGGACTGGCCAAGGGGCCCGTTAAAAGGAGGAGGAGAGCCGAGACCGGTTTGGCTCAATGGATAGAGCGTCAGCTTGGGGACTGAAAGGACCCAGGTTCAATTCCGGTCAAGGGCATGCACCTTGGTTGCGGGCATATCCCCAGTAGGGGGTGTGCAAGAGGCAGCTGATCGATGACTCTCTCTCATCGATGTTTCTAACTCTCTAGCTCTCTCCCTTCCTCTCTGTACAAAATCAATAAAATATATTAAAAAAAAAAAAAAAAAAGGAGGAGGAGACCATGTTTAGGGACCGAGGATAGATCAGAGAAGGAGTCAGGAGGACGGGAGAAATGGAGGGGAGAAGATGGAGACACAGAAACACAGAAAAGCAGGGGAGAGGGTGAGGGCGCCAGGGGCCACAGGCCTGTTTCTGCCAGGCCCCCTCCCTCCTGTGCCTCCGCCCTCCCTCCTGTGGGGCAGCTTCTGTGTGGCCTGGACTTCCACGTTCCCCGCCTGGCCAGGCCGAGGGCTTAGGGCCACTAATGAGGAGCCAGAGGGGCCGGGGGAGCAGACCACCCAGCGTGACTCAGAGTGGGTGGGAGCTCACCGGTGGGACCATGGGACCGCTGCCCCCCACCCAGGGCCAGGCCCTCCAGGTGCCGGGGCGGGGAGAGGGAAGCCAGGCCCACGCCGCTCCCCGGAGGAAGGAGAGGTGCACCGCGGCCCCGGCCCGCGGCTCACGTTGACGATGGCCTCCTTGGTCTGTGCCATGTCGGAGATGACGCCGTCGGTGATGATGAGCAGCACGGAGTACTGGGAGCCGTCCTGCACCTCGGCCGCGCTCCTGGGGGGGAGGGGCGGGCTGTCGGGGAGGCTCTGGGCGTGCCACCCCCCCCCCACACACACACACAGGTTCTTTGGCGGGAGGGGTCTCTGAGGGTCGGTCAGGGCTCCCTGGAAGGCCGGGGGCAGGCGGAGACCACGCCTGCGAGCCGCCGGGCGGGGCCAGACCGGCTCACCTGGCCACGTGGGTGACGACGGGCGCGAAGTTGGTGGGGCCGTAGAGCTGCACGGTGCGCAGGCTCTGGTGGTAGGCCTCCAGGATGCCGTCAATGCCGCAGCACGACGGGTCGTCCTGGTTGCCGTTCTGGGGGCGAGGAGGGAGGCTGAGCCGGGGAGGGAGGAGGGAGGGAAGGCCGAGGGCCTCGGGAGCAGGGGGCAGAGGCCCGCAGCCTGGGGGAGGGGGAGGGGGCAGTGTGGGCCCCCCCCCCCCGGAGGGTAGCACCTGCTCCTCACCCCACACCCTACACCTGCCCAGATAAGCCCCCACCAGCCGGCTGGGAAGTGGCTGCTGACGCCCCTCCTCCGTCCGGTGCCCAGCACAGGGCCGGCACTCTGCAGGCTGTGAGGGGCGTTTGCTGAGTGACCCAGGCAGGAACTGACTCGGTGTCCCCAGCTCACGGCAGGGAGGGGAGGCGGCGGCCTGAGGAGTCATCCCCACACGGCCCCCATCAGCACCAGCCCAGGGAGCTCCTGGAATTGCCCCCAGTTGCCCGTATCCAACCGACACCCCCTCCTCATTTCCGGAGCCTTGGGGGAAAGTACAGCCACCCGCCCCTCCACCCCCTGGTCTTGTCAGGAAAAGGAGGCCAGAGCCACTGTGGTGGCCTCAGACATGATGGGAGTGTTTGTGAGCAAGCAGGGCGGGGTCTCTGGAGGCCCAGCTCCAGACCCCCTGCACACAGCAGGCGGCCCCCCCCCTCAGGCTGCCCCTGGAGTCCCTAAGCGGGTAAGAGGGGAGGTGCCCCACACCAGGCTTGTAAGAAGGAGGTGCCCCATCCCCCGGGATCAACCCTACCAGCGGGAACTCGTGGGACACCCTGCCGTCGGGGGGCAGCTTGGCGCCGAAGCCAAGGGCGGGGAACATCTTGTCGCTGTCGTAGTGCTGGATGATCTCCCCGACGGCGGTCAGCGCCAGCGCGTAGGCGTTCAGCTGGTAGGGGCTCATGTAGTGCAGCGACGTGGACTGCGAGGGGTTCCCTGCGGCCGGGACATGGGACATGGGACCCGGAGCGTGTGCCGGCGTGCACACGCCCAGCCCCCTGGGCTCCGGAGTCAGAAGGGCGTCCCACGGCACCGCTGGCTATGGTCTGTTTGTCCCGACACCGCTCTGTCTTACTGCACGCCCCGTCCTTTAGCCAAGTCTGGCTGCTAAGCTCAACGAATATCAGGTCCCAGGATCCCAAGCCTCCTGCTCCCCTGCCTCCTCGCCCTGTGCCCCACGCTCAGCACGGACGCCACCCCTCTCTGCTCTAACGGCTCTGAGGCTCCCACCTCACCGGAGTTAAACCCAACTTCCCACAGGACCAGCTCCAGGTACCTCTGTCCTCCGCCTGCCCCCCGGTCACTCACCCTGTCCCCTCAGGGTCTTGGCCACGGTGGCTGCTCTGCCCGGGACACTCCGCAGGGGCCCACGTGCCTTGCTCCCCCACCTCTCAGGTTCCACCTTCTTGGTGGCCTTCCCAGCGGCCTGCTGAAGGTCACAGCCTCCCCGACCTCCCTCTCTGTCCCTTCTCCTCGCCTGATGCTTCTCATCGCCTTTATCTCCACTAAATGCTGTCCACGTTTTACTTATTAGTGAGAGGCAGTACGCACAGGCTGCAAAGGTACCAACCCCGTCCTCCCTCCTACCAGCTGTGTGGTCTTGGGTGCGCTCTCTAACCTCTCAGCCTCAGTCTCCTCATCTGCAGAATGGGGATAGCAGTCCCCACCTCACGGGGTTGTTGTGAGGATTAAGGAGTGTTATGGTAGCTCACCTCACTGTTAGCACCACCAAGGCCCCTCCCAACTCTGACATCCCACCGCCCTCCGTGGGGCTGGGGGTTCTGACACTCCTGGGCCGTGAGGCCTGGGTGTCCTCCGATTGGCACTGAGCACCGCTAACGGGCCCAGACCCCACAGAAGGGGGCGATGTCTCTAACAGTGCAAGGTCTGGCCCCGAGTGCTCCCGGGGGCTCGGTCCCAGCCGACACCGGAGACGGTCAGCGGTGGCGAGGAGGTGGGGCGGCCCCCACCCGGGAGTGGCCCGGGCTCCTGGGCTGCGTGTCTGCCCTCACTGAGGACCACGCGCTCAGGCCTGACTCCGTCTCCCTTCCCGCCTGGGGGCTGCCCTGCAGAGGGTGTGGGCTCTCCCGGGCCCAGAGCAGCCCGTCCTGTCCCCCCAGGGAGACCGGGCGCCCTCAGGGCGAGGCTGTGGCCCGGGCCCAGACCTGTGGTGACGGTGGTGCCACCTTTGGCTCTCAGGCCTAAGCGCCTTTTCTTCAGTGAGGACGAGGCCAGGGAGGATGGCCGGCCTGGCTGCCGAGCGCCCCCTCTCCTCCCCTCCCCGCCCAGGGCCTCCGCCGCCCACTCACCGTTGGAGGCCGTGAAGTCGATGGCCACGGTGAAGTTGATCTGGGTCCTAGAGGGAGGACAGCGGGGAGTTACCGGACAGCGGGCGCTGGGGGAGGGGGCGCAGGGCGGGAGGGTGGGAAGCCAGCCCACAGCCCGCTGCTGGCCGGTGTGCGGTCTTTCCATCGGAAAACTGGGATGTGACACCGCCCCGCCCTGCCCCCACTGTGGCCTCCCAAAAAGGATGACTGTGAGCATCATAGAGCCAGGCGGGGAATCTGGTGGAGGACACAGATGCTCTGGGTGGACAAGTGATTACTCCCCAAACCCGGTCCCGGGCCCTCACTGTGTTTCTGGCTGGAACGTGGAGTCAGATTCAGAGTTAAAACTTATTTGACAAAAAAGGAGAGAAACAAATAGACATTGTCCGTCTCGGGAGGGAAGCACAAACACCACCAGGAAGTTGTCTGGCCCCCAAATGAACCTGAATGGGACTGTGGCTCACAGGAAGCACGGGGTCGGAGGGCACCGCGGAGGGTGGGGGGGTGCGGCCAGTGAAAGCCAGTTTTGGGGGGTGCTTTCTGGAACACCACGGTCTAGGGACCAGCAGGAGCGGGGTCACGGGGACGCAGAGGACCCCAAGGCTCCTGCAGACCCACGGAGTCAGCAGCTGTCCGCAGGTGTAGGAAGCTCTTAGCAACCCCCCTCCAGGTGCGGGACTCGGGGGCAGGGAACTGATAGGAGGAAAGAGAGTTAAGAGACGAATCAGCCAACCCCGATACAGGGATGGGCAAAAGTTGGGAGTATAGGAAACACGGTTTATTCTTATATTAATGATTCTATTATTTATTTGTATTACAACTGTAGACCTACTTTTGCCCAATCCTGTATATGGATCTTGCCTGGATTTCGGCTTCAAAGAAGCCATTTGAAAGCGTTATAATTCAACGGGAAATTTGAACACTGACTAGCTATGTGGTGTGTAGGAACTCTCCGTTTCCAGGTGTGATTAGGATACTTGGTTATAATTGACAAAGAGAGTCCTTAAAGGACACATCTTGAAGGACGTCTGGGATTTGCTTCAGAATCATTGCATGGGACGGGGAGGGGATGGGACAAGATTGGCCATGAGCTGGTGACTGCTGCATCTGGGCGAAGGGCTTGGGATTTTTCCATAAAAAAAAACAGATTCGGGGCTGGAATTGCCTCGGGCTTGGCTGTTCCGGGTTCCATGCTGGCTGCTCACAGAGCCAAGCTGACAAGACACGAGCCCCTGAGACAGTCTGGCCTCGTGGTTCCCACGTTGGGAGAACAGTCATCAAAAGGCTTGTTTAGCCGAAACCGGTTTGGCTCAGTGGATAGAGCGTCGGCCTGTGGACTGAAAGGTCCCAGGTTTGATTCTGGTCAAGAGCATGTACCTTGGTTTCGGGCACATCCCCAGTGGGGGGTGTGCAGGAGGCAGCTGATCAGTGATTCTCTCTCATCGATGTTTCTAACTCTATCCCTCTCTCTCTTCCTCTCTGTAAAAAATCATTAAAATATATCTTTAAAAAAAATTTATGTTTAAAAAAAAAGGCAGGGGAGGGGGGGCTTGTTTAAAAGGAAGATTGCAGGGCACCTCTCCCGGGAATGCCAGCCCAGTGGGTCCGAGATGGGCCCCGAGTCTGCCTCTTTAATGAACATCCTCTGGCCTCATTCAGGATTCTGAGGAGTGCCAAGGTGGCCCTGACTGGGATCGCACTTGGGGAAGCTCTGTTATGGGGTCACACTTGGGAAGCTGTCATGGTGGTTCCGAATTGGGGCCAGGGGTGGTGTAAGATGAGACAGGGCTCACCTCGCCTGCAGGTAGGAGACGGTCCCTATCAGAACCACAGCTCTCTCTCCGCCTAATCACAGCTGAGCGATTGCTCATGGACCCCTTGTCCCCCAGGAAGCGTGAAGGACGTGGGTAGCGGAAGACCCAAGCCAGGACCTGCTGGCCAGAGACATCTCCCCACACCACCTCCCCCTGGGCTGCTGCTTGGGGGCAGAGCACTAACAGACTCTAAGCTCTGAGGGGGAAGGAGCCACAGATGGCAAGGGCCTGGGTCCCTGAGTGACTGCGTGGAGCATCTCCCCAGCCAGCCTTGCCACCCCAAGAATGAAATACCGTATAAGCTTTTATCTGTAGGAAGCCTTGAGGGTGGGGGATTATTGTTATAGCAGTTGACCTACTCTGTTCACTGCTGTTCCTCGCCACCTCTCAGGGGAATACAGAGACCGTGTCTGCATGAGCAGCGGGGACACACTGGGCGGGGAGGAGCCTGGCTCCCGGGCTGCCCTTGGGAGGGCGGGTCTGCGGCTGAGGGCACAGGCCGGCCTTGCTGTGTATGCAGTGTCCCTGCTCTGGGTTCTGGAATGACTCAGGGAGCGCAGGGAGCGGAAAGCAGTGTCTGTGGGAACGTTCCTCCCTGCTGCTCACCTGTCCTGCCTGAGGGCGCAGCAGGGCGGAACGCGGCTGCTGAGCAACCAGCTCCATCTCTGACGTGGGGCAGAGGTGCCCATTCTCTACCCCCCTCCAGGTGGGGAGGGAGGGAGGGAGGGAGGCCAGGGAGGCGAGGATCCCTAGACACATGTCGCCATCAGCCGCCTGCCCGGACCCGCACGCAGGGCTCCCGCCGCCCAGAGCCGGCTCTCCGGCTCTCCAGCAGGTGCAGAGAGGCGTGGGGCGGGTGCAGGAGGGGCGGCCAGGGCGGCTCTGTGTTCTGACTTGCCCGGGACTCCAGACGCCAGCTTTGCCCAGCAGCTGCCAACCACGGAGGCTCCAGGAGACGTCACAGTGCCCGGCCCTTTAACTCGGCCGCCTCCACCTGCACCCACCCCACCTCCACCCACCCCACCGGCACCCACCCCGCCCAAACCCACCCCACCCTCACCCACCCCACCCGCACCCACCCCGCCTGGGCGCCGGAGGCAGGCAGGGAGAGTGCCAGCTGTGGCCGAAGTGCAGCTGTGGTGACAGGAGGCACCTGCCACCAGGCCGCGGCCTCGGGGAAGTTATAGGAAGTGAAGCTCCACTGGAGGGGCCGATGGGGGAAAGGGAACCCATGGAATGATTTCAACAGTAAAGACAACATTGAATTAAAAAGTAAAATGAAGATCCTCTTCGCCCTGCACCGTGGGGGTATGATGCAAATGAGAAGGGGAAACAGGACTGGAAATTGCCAGGCGCACGGAGGGGAAGGGGCGGTGCTTACTGGATGGGGAGCAGCTGGTTTGATGAGGGCGGGAGTGAGGGCGGGTGGGGAGCAGCTCAGGGGGCAGGGAGGGGGCAGGAGGCCTCGGTGACCGTGGGGAGGGTGTGTGCTCCGTGCGGAGAGGAGAGCTCCCCGCTGGAGACGGTGGTGGCGGGGAGAGCGGGCGTGGCCGCCCAGGCCCTGCCCGCGCCCTCTGCCCCGGAGAGCCGGGCACCGAGCACCCACTTGGCTGGGATGAGCCTCTGGCAGCTGCCCTCCTGTCTGCTTTCCAAACAGGTGTAGCTGCTCACCTGCCTGCACCTGTGGGCTCTTGGCTACCCACACCCTGACCTGGCACCTGTCCTTGGCAGAGCCGGCTCCCTCTCCGTGATCTGCTGGCTGGAGCCTCCAGGCTTCGCCACTGCCTGGACCCGGACCGTGAAACCCCTGGTTCTTTCTGCGCCTTGCACGCGTGTTTGACCAGCTGCCGGTCCTGGGACTACTCCCTGGCCCACCCCCCACGCTCTCCGGCCCCTGATATGTCCCCCATGGCACTAGGCAGGTTAATGGCTGCCACACAGTCAGACCAGAGGCATCAGGAGCTCAGAGCGGGAAGGACTCTTAGAATTCCCCAAACTCCAACCTCCTGTGTTCGCAGGAGGACAGGGACCTGCCGGAGGAACCCCAGAAATTCAGGGCAAAGAGGGGTCTGCAGCTGGGCCTCGTGCCTCCCAGTCCAGGGCTCTTTCCACCTCCCACACCCTTGGACTCTGGCCTGGAGTCCCCACCGCCTCCGGCTCCTCTGGCACAGGGACCCGGCGTGCCCGCTGACCCCATGGCCCAGGGACGCCCCTGCGGCCAGGCCGCCTCCCGGGCAGGCAGAGCTCAGAGCCAGGCTGCTCGGAGACGAGGATCTCAGACTTGAGCCAGGGCCCCCCAGGGGCCAGGGAGGGGCCAGAGCTGCTCGTGCCCCTGTTTGGGGCCCCTTCCCTCCCCCTGAGACTGCGGAAACGGGGCTGCGCGTCTTCTCACCCTCCTTTGATGTAGTCGAGAAACGTGCACTCGGACTCCACAGCGAAGGACAGCAGCGTGACCTTGAAAACAAAGGGGAGCCCGGTCAGGGGGGGCCTGGGCCTGTGCCATCTGCACACATGGCCGCAGGCGGGGCTCACGGCAGCCCCAGAAGGCACTGTCATCATCCCCATTTCATCCCCACGGAAACCGAGGCTCCACGAGGGCAGGCCATGCGCCCCAGGACGCTGCCGGCTCGCGGTGCAGTGAGATGGAACCAGGTCTGTCGGAGCTCGCCCTCTTGCCCTCGGTGCCAGACTGCAGGCACCGTGTGCGGCAGAGCGTGGAGGGCAGGGTCTTCCTGACAGGCCTGACGCCCGCCACGCCGGCCAGCTCCACGCTCCCCAGCCCGCTGCTGGCCACCCGCACACCTGCCCCTCTGGTCCACGCTCACCTTCGACCTGCCCTCAGCCTGAGACCCTCTCCCAAGCGGAGGCCTCCTGACTACGCCCTCTGGCAGCTTTGGCACCAGCTCCGCCAGGACGGGCAGCCGCTGGCCGCTGGTTATGGTGCTGACTTGGGTCTGGGGGACAGGGAAAGCCTGGCGGCTGAACCCCATTAAATGAGGCAGTCGGGGAGGGGGACGTTTCCCGTCATCACTGAGCTCTGCTCTAGGATCCGGGGAGCTCCCTACCCGTGTAGGCTCAGCCATCTTCACCCACTCGCTAGGTGGGCACGTAGGGCCGCTGCTTGACAAAGCTGAGCCATTAGCCCCCCAAATGGGAGGGCGTGTGAGTGCTGAGCTGGGCCTCGGAGACCCCACCCACTGTGTTACGGCCTCAGGCACCTGGACAAAGCCTCCTGTCACTAGGACTGTGGCAGTGCCCTCTTCGCTGACAATTAGGAGGCCCCGTGGGGAGCTTTTAAAACATCTTGCAGCCCAGGGGAGGCCCTCACACCCATGGCATCGGGGTGTCTGGGGGCAGGCTCTTTCTTTAGCTCCTCACAAGGTCTAAGCTGCAGCCAGAGTTGACCATCCGGGCCCTGGGATGAAGTAATTCCCTAACTTGCCTGCCCGTGGATTCACCCAGGGACTTGCTACTCCGAGGGCGGTCCCTGGGCCAGCATGGTCAGAATCACCGAGTTGCTGGTAAGAAATGCAGAAATGGCCTCAGCTGGTTTGGCTCAGTGGATACAGTGTCGGCCTGTGGGCTGAAGGGTCCCAGGTTCAATTCCGGTCAAGGGCACACATGCCTGGGTTACAGGCTTGACCCCCAGTAGGGGACGTGCAGGAGGCATCTGATCAATGATTCTCTCATCATTGCTGTTTCTATCTCACTCCTCCCTTCCTCTCAATATGTAAATCAATTATTTACATATATATCTATCAGAAATGCAGCTTCTTGGCATTTTAACAAGAGCCCAGGAGATTCTTCTCATGGTAAGGTCAGAAAAGCACTAAGCTGGGCCCCAGCCTGGGACCCGGGGAACTTGCCTGGGCATCTGCATTTTGATACGCAGACTGGATGATTCTTTTATTTTTTATTTTTAAAAAATATATTTTATTGATTTTTCACAGAGAGGAAGAGAGAGGGATAGAGAGCCAGAAACATCCATGAGAGAGAATCATTGATCAGCCACCCCCTACACACCCCCAACTGGGGACGTGCCTGCAACCAAGGCACATGCCCTTGACTGGAATCGAACCCGGGACCTCTCAGTCCGCAGGCCGACACTCTATCCACTGAGCCAAACCAGTTTCGGCCTGGGTGATTCTTTTAAAGGTGAAGCCTGGAAAATGCTGCAGCAAAGGGAAGTCAGGAGACCGGGCCCAGCCCTGCGCTGCCCTCCCTCCTGTGTGACCTCAGACAAAGCATGCGCCCTCTGGGCTCAGCTTCTTTCTCTCTAAAGCAGGAAAGCTGGGCGAGGCCGGTGGTCTTCAAACCTTTTTAAAACTGTACATCCACTCCTTCTCCGAGGCCTCCCCTACAGGCGCCTGGGAAGGTGTGGGAGGATTCTGGGGGCTCACAGTGACTGGGCTCCATTGGTAGCCGTGGGCTGAGGCCTGGGGTACACCTCACCATGCAGGGGGAGTCCTGTGAGACCAAGAATGGTCCCACCCAAACACCAGCGGCAGCCCGCGGAGGAACCCTGCGGCTCTGGACTGAAGTTCAGGGTGGGGCAGCAGCAGGTTGAGAGCATGTGACACGGTTTATTCTTGTACCGTTATTTATTACTTATCGTATTGCTTCCCATACGAACAGCTGTAAACCTACTTTTGCCCCGCCCTGTATTACTCCACGCCTGTCTGTGAAGGTTACGGAGAAACGGGGGGCTGTTTCCCCGGTGGGTGAGTTTATAGGCCTGCGCCTCCCTGTGTCTGCCATTGACACGCCATGCAATAAGCAGAGCAGCAATGGCGTATCAGCCCCATGTACAGATGAGAAAATGAGGGCCCTCAGAGGCCCCCCAAGTCCCTGCCTGGGGCCTCTCCCGGGTTTAGAGTTGCGGTCTGCCTGACTCAAATGTCTCTACATTTCGCTGCATTCCCGGATGTACGGACCTCGGGGAGGGACATGAGGGTAGAACTTGGGGATGTTTGCCCGGCAAAGATATTGGTTTATTCTATAAATGTATCGTGGGCTCTGCCCCAGGGCCTTGGCACATGCTGATTCCCACTAGCATTCTCTTTCCCCCAAATCCTCAATACTCCCTTCCTCCCTTCTTCGAATCTCAGCTCGAACGTCAGCTGAGAGGAGCTTTCCTTGACTGCCTTATATTAAACAGTAGTTTGGTCGCTGGCATTTCCTATCCCTTTACGTTGCTTTTGTCCAGAGCACTAACCACCTGGCACACACAGGCACAGGCACGTAGGTATCGTTACTTGTGTCCTGTTTCCTCCCACTGGAATGTGAATGCATCAGGGCAAGGACTTCTGTTTGTTGGTAAACACGTGAAGACCAGCCCCCAAAGCCCCTGGGCCGGCGTGACCCCGGGATGGGGACCGGCAAGCAGCCGCCGCCCGTTGCAGCCGCAGGCTCCGGATTCAGGCGCGGTGCTGACTGCCGCCACCCCTACCACTCTCCAGCCTGTGACCTTGGCTGAGTCACTTCCCCGCCTGCAGCCTTGGTTTCCTCTGTCATGACGAGGGGGTGATGCCTCCCGAGGAAACACCCCGAGAAAAGCACCTAAATTGGGAATTTCCCAGAGTGAGGGCGCAAGCACGGCTGCTCCTTTCCTCTTCCTGCCGGCAGGACGTCCTGGGGCGTTTCCCTCTGGGATTTCTCAGTCTGAATCACAGAGCCCGCCTGCTACAACCTTAAACACGACTCCCTCCGTCCTCCCCGGGCGGTGGCTCCAGGGGCCCCACCCCTCTGCACCCCCACTCTCCGGGTCTAGTTCCCACACCGCAGGGCACACCAACACCCAGACTCCCCACACCAGCCCCCTCCGGGCTCAGCGTCTATCAGCCGCTCAGAGGGAGGGCTGGCTACCCACCGTGCCAGAGTTCACGTATTTCTTTTTCTTCATTTTCTTTTTTGGGTTTACCACCTGCAGGAAAAACAGTTACTAGGTAAGAAAGAGGCTTCCAAACTGGCAGGCTGGGCCCCCAGGGCTCCCACGGGGTAGGGGGTGCGGGGCTGGGGGTGGTCCAGACCCCAGAAGCAGAGCAGGCTGAGAAAACCAGCCACGGTGAGGAGGCCTCAGGCATTTGATTGAGGGAGCTGGCATCCAGACTTACGCAACTGGGCTCCCCATTGGACACAGTGTCCCACAAGCAAACACACCAAGAATAATATTTACTTAACCTCCTTTCCCAGCGCTTCCCAGGCACACCTCCGCCCTCGCAGTCAGAGGCTGATGTGGCAAAGGGGCCCTGTCCGTGCCTGCCCTGAGCCTCAGCGGAACCCGCCCCCCACGGCCCTCCCTGCTGCTCCTTGGAGATCCAGCCTCGGGGCTCCGGGGGGCCTGTGAGCTCCCCCAGACCCTGCCCGCCCGCCCTCACCCTGCACTTAGAGCTCCTTCCCCATTCTGCACGTGTAAGCTTTCACTCCAAACCCAGCCTGTCATTAGGGAGGATAGCTCAGCCCTAGAGTAGGTGCTAAACAAACACTTCCTGGTGGGTTATCTCGAAGGTCTTCACTGGGGGCCCATCCCTCCCCTGGAGAGATCTGGCTGGCGGCACAAGCACAAGAAATGTTTGTGTTTGTCACAACGAGGGGGGCAGGTGGAGACGAAGGACGCTGCCAAACACCCCACCCCCGAGGGACGGCTCCCTCAGCAAAGACACTGAGTGAGAAGCCACAGTGCGAGGCGGAGACCCTGGCTGCTGCCGCCTGCCCGGGAGCCCTCCGGCCTCACACGCACCCCTGGTACTAACCTGAGCCTCGCGATTCTGGTTCTTTTCTGTGGGAGTCTAGGCCCAGCCCTCCCCTATCCTCCTCCTGAACAGAGCAAGGCCATCTCCTCACCCGAGGTCCTTCCCTCTCCCCAGCTCCTGTCTGTCCTTCTGGAGGTCTCTTCTGCCTGCAGGATGCTGACAGCCACTCGGAACAGCCTTCACTGTCCTTCCCATGTGAGCTTGGAGACAAGGACACGGAGGCCCAGAGACTGAGGGCTTTGCCCAAGGGCATGGAGCGGGTCGGGTTAGTGACAGAGTTAGGAACCGGGTTCCTGCCTCAGGCCAGCTCGGTCCTTCACAAACGTCTGCCAGTGGGTGGGGTGGGGTGCCCGCTCCTCTTCTCTAGAATCTTTACTCCCCAAGGGCCACCGCGCTGGGGCAGCCAGGACCTGAAGGCCTCGTTCGAAGGAAGGGCCCGAGGAGGGAGCACTGGAGGCACTGCCTGCAGACTCGGAGGGACAGGACGGAGCTGGGCGCGGAGAGGTGGAGGGAGGCGTCCAGCCAGGAGATATCGGGGGAAGGAGCACAGGACTGGGGTCCGGCTGGGCTGCAGAGCCGCAGGGAGGAAGAGGGCACAGTGGGCTGGCTGGAAGAGGGCTGAAATGGCGGACACCACCCAGCGGCAAGCAGGGACTCTGATGGCCTCTCAGCTGACGGGGGACTAGGTCCCGGCAGGCTCTGGGATGCGGACAGGGTGGAGGTGAGTGCGAGGGGAGGAGGAAGGACAGCAGGCGGGTGTCTGCAGATGTTTCCTCAGCCGTAAAATGAAAGGCGCCTACCTCGTGGGAAGATGGAGGGGTTACGTGGGTCAATACAAGGACAGGGTCTGGGATGTGAGGAAGTGCCGTGGACGTGTAGGCTGCTGTTATGTTTCCTTCCTTCTGCTTACGACCGCCACCACCAGTCCGGGTGGCCGGAGTGAGGGCTTGTGGGTGTTGGAGCAGGTAAGGAGCTCTGGCAAAACAGCTCCGTCAAGAAGTGACCACAGACCTGGGCCCCGGGCACGGCGGTGGGGGAAGGAGAGAGGGCGGGGTCAGGGTCCCCAGAAAGACGCAGAAGGAAGGAGGAGCTGGATTTGGGGCACAAAAGGGACGTTCAGGTGGGAGGGCCCGCAGGCTGTGCAGGGGGCACGTGCGAGCCAGGGAGAGAAAGCCCAGAACGGCCTGGAACCCTCCCCGGGCAGGAAAGCCGGGCAGAGGGCACGGCACTCGGTCTTGGGAAGCAGCCTCGGTGTTGAGATGAGAGCACCGTTGCAGCTCCAGTGCTGCACGGGCCTCAGTTTCCCAATCTGTCCCAGGAGGGTGTGGCAGTTTTAGAACTAAGTACATCTCAAACATCTACTCCAAAGTACTCCCCCCCCCCACCCCGGCTGAAGAGCAGACGTGGACTCCTGGGGATCTGGGCGTCACCCCAAGATCAGGCCACAAGCACATTTCTTTGAAGTCTTCTGTGTTGTCTTTAAATTAGCCACTATTCCACATTTCCACTCTCTAATTATAGCTGTTTTAATATTAAAGCAATGTTTTGTGCTCAGATCTTCATGCGAAATGGCACTGACGAGACGCCCTGTTTATCCTGAGGTTTGGTGCACTCCCCAGCACACCCCACCCATGTACCAGCCTCGCCTGCCCTCAGGTTCCAGGAGGGGGACCAGCGCCCCCTAGGGGCCAGGCCAGGAACCTCCCCACCCCTGGGCTGGAGTTCTAAGCTTGCCTATTCCTCTCCCTCTCTTCACACTGGAGTCTCTAGGGCCTCCAGCGCCCATTTGGGGTCTGCCCTCCTGTACCAGGGGTCAGGGAGTGGCTCTGAGGAGCCAGGAGCTGCTCTGGCTCTGGGGATACAACAGTGAGACACGCCCGGACCCAGAGGCAGCACCTGCGTGAATGAAGCCACGAGGCTGAGCCGGCAGGCAGGGTCAGAGAGCCTCTGCTGGCGATGACTGGGCTGGAAGCACTGGGCAGCGGGAAGGGCTGGGGCCAGACCGTAGGGGCCTCGTGGGGGTGACATGTGCGCCCACTTACACAGGCCCCCGGGGCACAGTCTGCAAGTCGCTGCGGGGGGCAGGCACTGTGGGGGAGCTCGGACTTCGCCCCATAGGCCGGCCCTGTAGCATCTCGGCTGGGGTGGGCGTCTTTCCGAACCTCCTTCCAGTGAACCGGGCTGGGGGGGGGGGGGCTCACAGCCAGGTGTGAAGTGGGCAGCCATGTGGTTAGGTGACCGTGCTGGGGAGCACTCAGGTTACTGAGCGGACGAAGGAGGCAGGAGGGCCGTCAGGGGGCTGTTGCAAAACCTGCTCAGGGGAGATGCCAGTGGGGTGGACAGGGGGGACGATGGGAACAAATGCCAGGATATCCTGTTGGTTAGGAGCAGGGGGCAGCCATGGATGGCGAGGGGCCACGGTTGTCAAGGTGGCTCCCAGGGGCCGTGGCTCCCATGGTGGCGGCTCAGACTGGCCAGAGGAAGGGGGGGCTGTGGGGGGACTGTGCCGGATGCATTTGGTTTGGGAAGGCAGGGTCTGTGGAGGGGCCTGCAGACAGCTGGACGCACAAGTCGGACCGGGTCACGCTGGGGCCCCAGACGATGGTCCCTCCTGAAGAAGCCTGTGTGTCTCAGGACAGCGAGGCCCCCAGGGACCCCGCGGTGCAAGGACCCTCCGCAGCCACCGGAGTGCATTCCTGTGTGCCTGGCAGCATTTGGCATTTCACCGTGAAGACAGCGCCCCGGCTTCCCAGAGCTCAGGTCCTCTGGGCCAGTGGTCGGCAAACTCATTAGTCAGCAGAGCCAAATATCAACAGCACAAGGACTGAAATTTCTTTTTGAGAGCCGAAAACCGCCTCCTGTGCATGGGCCGCGAAGTTCCAATCGCACTGTACGTGCGCACCCGCACGTGGTATTTTGTGGAAGAGCCACACTCAAGGGGCCAAAGAGCTGCATGTGGCTCCTTGCTGGCCACTGCTCTGGGAGACGACAAGGGAGCCGGGGTCCGCACCAAGAAAGTCCTCCAGCCTTCCTGCCAACTGGGAGACGGTGCTTCTTCGGGTCTGTCAAGCTCCCTTAGAAGTCAGACTCCAATTGATCTGTCCCTTCCCTTCCCTTCCCTTCCCTTCCCTTCCCTTCCCTTCCCTTCCCTTCCCTTCCCTTCCCTTCCCTAAAAACCTCCTTCGAGGAGGCAGAGAAAGACGGAGCCTGCTTCTCTGCCTGGGAGGGATATGGGCAAAGACAGCCCTTTCCTTTGTCCATGCAGAAGCAAAGCTTTCACTGGGAAGAATTCACAGACATCCCCCCAAGCTCCATCTTCCCAATGGCCTTGTTCAACTGAAGTCGGGGTGTGGATGTCTAAGAAGCACCTACTGTGTGCCCAGCAGTGGCCAGAGGACTGTGGAGAGAGCAGCCAAGAGGGCTCTCAGCTGCCCTTGGGGGGCTTCGGTGTAGTTGGAACGCAAAACCTGCCCACTCAGAATGGAGACGCGGGGTGAGAGGGAGGGTGGAAGGCTCAGATTCAGTGACAGGAGTCAACGCCAGCTCGTCAGCCTCACCGGCCGGGCGCTGCTAACGTGAGGCGAGAGCCCGCCCGTGGGATGGCTGTGAGCCGTCTCTCCTGGCACACAGGATGCTGGGAGACAGCGCTGACGTCACGCCCACTCGGGCCAGGCCTTGTCCTGGCAGCTTATCTAACTCTCTATGGCCTTGCAGAGTGCGTCAAGAGCGTGGCTGAGCCGAAGCCGGTTTGGCTCAGTGGTAGAGCGGGTCTGCGGACTGAAAGGTCCCAGGTTCGATTCCGGTCAAGGGCATGTACATTGGTTGCGGGCACATCCCCGGTAGGGGGTGTGCAAGAGGCAGCTGGCCGATGTTTCTCTCTCATCGACGTTTCTAGCTCTCGATCTCTCTCCCTTCCTCTCTGTTAAAAATCAATAAAATATATTAAAAAAATAAAATAAAATAAAGAGCGTGGCTGAGCTCACAGGGCCAGCACGAGGCAGGGACAGGCTCTGAGCTCAGGAGCCACGTGGAAGCCAGCACCGGAGCAGGAGCTGAGCTAGACCAGAGGGCAGGAGGGCACCCAGAGGGAGGGCACACACAACACACATAGACGGCGGAGGGCACCCAGAGAGAGGGCACACAGCACAGGCTCAGCACAGACACTGCCCTGTGAGGGCAAACGCGATTTTCTCCAGAGAGATGGAGGCCTCGTTGACAGGGGCCTCCTGACTCCTGCTTCCCTGAGTCTCTCCCTCCAGAAAAGGCCTGGACCTGCCCTCACCGAAGGCAGCGGGCCATCTGACCTCCGGACTTCGGGTCTCAGGCCTGGAACCTCCTCACACTGTCCCCCAGCTTCTGCCTCACCCCCCCTTCTATCCCCCACCTTGTCGGAAGTACTCGTTTTGGGGGGCATTCTATCTCAGTGATTTGAAGTCAGATCAGCCTAGGCACGTGATTGGCAAACTGAGGCTCGAGAGCCACCTGTGGCTCTTTGGCCCCTTGAGTGTGGCTCTTCCACAAAATACCATGGCCTGGGCGAGTCTATTTTGAAGAAGTGGTATTACAAGAAATTTGTTTTAAAAATGTGGCTCTCAAGATAAATTTCAATCGTTGTCCTGTTGATATTTGGCTCTGTGGACTGATGAGTTTGCTGACCACTGGCCTAGGCTGTTGCCCCTTGATCCTGCCATTTACTGAAATGTGCCTTGGGGCAAGTCCCCTAACTCTGCTGAGACTCGGTGTCCTTAGCTGTGGGAAGAGACAATAACACCCACACCACACGAGAACCCCCAAAAGCCCCTCCCCCTGTGGCATCGATGGCTGGGAGCATGGGGCACACCAGTCCCTGGGTGTCTGCCTCACCTCATAGATGTTGAACTGGCTCTGCCCGCGGGCCAGCTCCCGGTAGCTGGTGGTGAACTCCCCGATGAAATCATGGCTGCAAAGGAAGGCTCTGCTGAGACCCGTGCCCACCCCACCTCTCCGTGTCCCCGGCCTTCCAGTCCTGCCCAGGCCGCTCCTCCGGGCGCATGCCGGCTGGGAGGCTGGGTCCCTGGGGGCCACGTGTCACCGGTGGAGCAAACCCCCAAAGGCCAAGGAGCAAAGGGTGGGGCCCCAGAGAACGGGACCCATTTCTACTTGGATTCCTGTGAGAACAGACCAGCAACAAAGGGTGTTTGGGTGACAACCAGGGAAATTGGAATACGAAGTGAATATTAGAAGGTGTCCAAGACTATCGTTCCCAGTGTCCGGTGTGACAATGACATCCATAGTTATGTAGGAAACGCCCTCCGTTTCCAGACATTCCCAATGAGATAGTTAGAGATAAAAATGCCATGATGTCTATAATTTAAGCTACATCCACAAATCACAAATAAAGCAACTACGGCAACGTGTAACACTTGTTAGATTCAGGTGATAGGCTTAAAGCGTTCAGTAAGCTCTTCTCTAGTTTTCTGTCCGTTTGCCATTTCTCCAGTAACATGGCTGGAAAGACATTTAGCCCCATGTCCAGGGAGGCCCTGGCGGTGTTCTCAGCAGCGTCTGCACTTCGGGGGCCTGTGTGTGTGTTTACGTGAAGTGCAGCAAAGCCGTGTACAACGCAGAACTGCCACCTCCGCTGGGGCCGGCTGCCTTCGGCCGTCACGTGCTGGCCCGGGTGCCTGCTGGAGTGACGCCGGGCAGTGCCCTGCCCGCCCTGAGCTCACACCGTGTCTTTACTAAAGACGTGCAGCTCTCCCCAGGCAGACTGTGAGCTCCTGCTGGTGGGAACCAGTTGCATCTGGTGGCTGCCCCCCGCTTTCTCAGTAAAAGAGAAGGAGGGAGGACTCCAGGGTAAGAGGAGCTCCATCACGGGTGCAAACAGGAAGCTGACTGGCCTGTGATGTGGTTACAGGACAGGCGTGGCCCACGGGGGCTCCCCGGGCAGTAGGCACCGCCGGCTTCACAGGAAGGTCTGGGGAAGCTAAGCTCCTGGGAAGGGCTTGGGCCTAACTCAGAGCTGCGTTTGCACAGCCTAAGCCACGTCCCTGTCCACACCACAGCCTCGAGGACCAGCGGAGATACGGGTGTGAAGCCCCTCTCTGCCCCGCTCCTGTCCGAGAATGGAGGGGCCACAGAGGTCAGGAGGGGGTCCCTGGATTTGGCTCAACAGACAAGTAGGAGCCGGGGCGAGTTCTGGATGGAAGCCTTCTTGTCCTGTCTATGAATTCCCAGCGACGCTGCTCCTTGGGGACAGTTAGAGGGGGAGGGACTGCCTGCCCACTGGCCAAGCTCGGCCCTACGCAGGCACGACCTCCCTCCCTGTGTGGCCAACTTCCCTTCCCATTGCCCCAGTTCCCCTTCCACGCCTCGGTCCCCCCAAGGCTGAGCTCACAGAGGATGAGTCTGAAGTGCTCGGGCACCACCACTCTCTATACCTCACAACGGGCACGTTTCAGAAAATCCCAGGTCCTCCACCGGGGGGAGGGTTGGGCATGGCGGCTCGGCAGCTGCCTGAGGAAGAGAGGCCTCTCCTTGCCTTTGCGCCGTGCCCCGTGGGCCCGAGGTCCTCTGGTGCCCGTGGAGCCGGGCAGGGCCGTCACGGGCAGTGGGTAGCCCACAGGAGAGCCCAGGTCCCTCAGTCCCGTTTGAGGGGGGCCACCCTCCCCGGGGCTGCCCCACCCTTGTCCCTGTGCCCTTCTGCTGCTTACCTGCCGTCGCGGTCCCAGTCGTACACCTCCACCTTGATGGTCCTGTGGGACAAAGGGTCCGTGCTGGGATGGGCTTGACCCAACATCCACGTCACCTGACGATGGGGCCCTCCTCACACCCGGGCCAGAGAGGATGCTGGGACATCCACCAGAAGACAGGGACCTCCTCACACCCGGGCCAGAAAGGATGCTGAGACATCACCAGAAAGCGGGGAACTCCTCACACCCGGGCCAGAGAGGATGCTGGGACATCCACCAGAAGACAGGGACCTCCTCACACCCGAGCCAGAGAGGATGCTGGGACATCCACCAGAAGACAGGGACCTCCTCACACCCGGGCCAGAGAGGATGCTGGGACATCCACCAGGAGACAGGGTCCTCCTCACACCCGGGCCAGACAGGATGCTGGGACATCCACCAGAAGGTAGGGTCCTCCTCACACCCGGGCCAGAGAGGATGCTGGGACATCCACCAGAAGGTAGGGTCCTCCTCACACCCGGGCCAGAGAGGATGCTGGGACATCACCAGGAGACAGGGACTCCTCACACCTGGGCCAGACAGGATGCTGGGACATCCACCAGAAGGTAGGGTCCTCCTCACACCCGGGCCAGAGAGGATGCTGGGACATCCACCAGAAGACAGGGACCTCCTCACACCCGGGCCAGAGAGGATGCTGGGACATCACCAGGAGACAGGGACTCCTCACACCCGGGCCAGAGAGGATGCTGGGACATCACCAGAAGACAGGGACCTCCTCACACCCGGGCCAGAGAGGATGCTGGGACATCCACCAGGAGACAGGGACTCCTCACACCGGGGCCAGAGAGGATGCTGGGACATCACCAGAAAGCGGGGACCTCCTCACACCCGGGCCAGAGAGAATGCTGGGACATCACCAGGAGACAGGGACCTCCTCACACCCGGGCCAGAGAGGATGCTGGGACATCCACCAGGAGACAGGGACTCCTCACACCCGGGCCAGAGAGGATGCTGGGACATCACCAGGAGACAGGGACTCCTCACACCCGGGCCAGAGAGGATGCTGGGACATCACCAGAAGACAGGGACCTCCTCACACCCGGGCCAGAGAGGATGCTGGGACATCCACCAGGAGACAGGGACTCCTCACACCGGGGCCAGAGAGGATGCTGGGACATCACCAGAAAGCGGGGACCTCCTCACACCCGGGCCAGAGAGGATGCTGGGACATCACCAGGAGACAGGGACCTCCTCACACCCGGGCCAGAGAGGATGCTGGGACATCCACCAGGAGACAGGGACTCCTCACACCGGGGCCAGAGAGGATGCTGGGACATCACCAGAAAGCGGGGACCTCCTCACACCCGGGCCAGAGAGGATGCTGGGACATTCACCAGAAAGCGGGGACCTCCTCATACCCGGGCCAGAGAGGATGCTGGGACATTCACCAGGAGACAGGGACTCCTCACACCCGGGCCAGACAGGATGCTGGGACATCCACCAGAAGGTAGGGTCCTCCTCACACCCGGGCCAGAGAGGATGCTGGGACATCACCAGAAGACAGGGACCTCCTCACACCCGGGCCAGAGAGGATGCTGGGACATCCACCAGGAGACAGGGACTCCTCACACCGGGGCCAGAGAGGATGCTGGGACATCACCAGAAAGCGGGGACCTCCTCACACCCGGGCCAGAGAGGATGCTGGGACATCACCAGGAGACAGGGACTCCTCACACCCGGGCCAGAGAGGATGCTGGGACATCACCAGGAGATAGGGACTCCTCACACCCGGGCCAGAGAGGATGCTGGGACATCACCAGGAGACAGGGACTCCTCACACCGGGGCCAGAGAGGATGCTGGGACATCACCAGGAGACAGGGACTCCTCACACCCGGGCCAGAGAGGATGCTGGGACATCACCAGGAGACAGGGACTCCTCACACCCGGGGCCAGAGAGGATGCTGGGAAATCCACCAGGAGACAGGGACCTCCTCACACCCGGGCCAGAGAGGATGCTGGGACATCCACCAGGAGACAGGGACCTCCTCACACCGGGGCCAGAGAGGATGCTGGGACATCCACCAGGAGACAGGGACCTCCTCACACCCGAGCCAGAGAGGATGCTGGGACATCCACCAGGAGACAAGGACCTCCTCACACCCGGGCCAGAGAGGATGCTGGGACATCCACCAGAAAGCGGGGAACTCCTCACACCCGGGCCAGAGAGGATGCTGGGACATCCACCAGGAGACAGAAACCTCCTTACATCCGGGCCAGAGAGGATGCTGGGACATCCACCAGGAGACAGGGACCTCCTCACACCCGGGCCAGAGAGGATGCTGGGACATCCACCAGGAGACAGGGACCTCCTCACACCCGGGCCAGAGAGGATGCTGGGACATCCACCAGGAGACAGGGACCTCCTCACACCGGGGCCAGAGAGGATGCTGGGACATCCACCAGGAGACAGGGACCTCCTCACACCCGAGCCAGAGAGGATGCTGGGACATCCACCAGGAGACAAGGACCTCCTCACACCGGGGCCAGAGAGGATGCTGGGACATTCACTGGAAAGCAGGGACCTCCTCACACCCGGGCCAGAGAGGATGCTGGGACATCCACCAGGAGACAGGTACTCCTCACACCCGGGCCAGAGAGGATGCTGGGACATCCACCAGAAAGCGGGGACCTCCTCACACCCGAGCCAGAGAGGATGCTGGGACATCACCAGGAGACAGGGACCTCCTCACACCCGGGCCAGAGAGGATGCTGGACATCACCAGGAGACAGGGACTCCTCACACCCGAGCCAGAGAGGATGCTGGACATCACCAGGAGACAGGGACTCCTCACACCGGGGCCCTCATGAGAGGCAGCAGCCAGAGACACAAAGGAACTCTCTCGAGGCCTTTTAGAAGAGTCTGGGGACAGACGCAGCCGAGGGCTGTGCAGGAGCTTCCCGGGATTTCAGGGAGGATCTGGAAAACAGCCTCAGTTCGCCCTGCCTTCTGCTTGCCCACCCCAGATGGGGCACAAGTCCCAGCATGAAACCCACAGAGGATTTACCAGGGGTGGGGCCATCACAGTGGGGGGCGCTGCTCCCCGATCCCAGGCCTAAGCCGGTGAGCTCTCCTGGGAGGGACAGACAGCGGGGCTCGGGCTGTGGGGGCCGAGTGTGTGCGTGCCAGGGATGGGCCCAGGGCCCGGGGATGGCCTGCTGGGCTCCTGAGTGAGGGTGTAATTATCGTCACATTCCCACCCGGCTGCTTTAATTAGTTTGTTTTGACTTCTGTGCATGGGGCTGGGCTCTGGGAGCCCATTTTATTTTTAGCCTGTTTCCATGGCAACAGGTTAGCGGACCAGAGGCAGAGGAGGGAGGTGGAAGGCTGCAGGTTAACCCTTGGTGCCAGGGGTCCTCCAGGGATGCCCAGGGACGGGGGAGCTGCCGGGTCCGCCGCAGGGTCAGGGTCCGGGGAGGCCTCAGCCTTCAGCTCTAAGTGGGGCATGCAGAGGCGGCTGCCTGCCTGCTTTCCATTAGCATCTCATCATCTCCCCACCCGCGGCTGCGGCCGGCTCCTCGGGTCTCTGAGGACTCGGCCTCGGGGCTCCCGAAGCCCACAAGGGGGCGCTGTCTGCCTTCGGATGCGCTTCTGAGGGCGTGCCGTGCAGGCTGCGGATTCCCGGCTCCGGGCAGAAACTGCGCGGGAATGAAGGCAGGCCCGCAGGTTGTGCAGCAATTGGGTTTCTGTTACTAAGATGCAAAAGGGGGAGGGGGGGCGCAGAAGCCCACCATCTAAAGGAACCCTGCTGATTCTTGTGAGAAGCAAAAAGCAATGTCTCTCTGAGGTGAATTATGGTGAAAAGAAAAAAAAAACCCAAACAAACCAAAAAGCCCCTGAAGGTGGGCTGTGAGCAGGGAAGAGTGGGAAGAGCTGGGGTGTGGGCGTGGGTGTAGGCTGCTGGCTGGGGGCCGGGCTGTCACTTACGTAAAACCCGCCTGGCACGCTGTGGGCTCCATAAAAACGCCCCTTCTCTCCACTGGAGCCTCCGGCCACATGCGAGAAACTCACTGAGATCAGGGACACCCACACGGGGTACCTGACCCGCCCCTTCTGGTTCCTGGGGTGACAAGGCTGGAAGGGACCTTGTGGCTCCCACGCCTGCCCGCCTGATACATCACCAGGAGCCTTTCCGACGCACAGACCCTCGGTCTCAGCAGCTCCGGGCAGGGCGCCGAGAGGGTCTGAGCCAGGACCCTGCCCACAGTCTCCTGGTCCCTCCCGGAGCCCTCCAGCACCCCGGGAAGATGCCTCTCCTCAGACCGCTGTCACAGCCTCTCAGGGGCGGGACCACGTGCTCGGAGGCTGTAGGAGGACCCCAGTCACGGCCACAGCTTGGACACCCACACATCACTGGGGAGATTTTTTAATAATCGCAGGGCCAGCGGGCCTGACCTCATCAGTCTGCATTGGACTCGGGCACGGGTAGCTGGAGAAGTTGGACGAATTCCCAAACAGTTCCCCTGGCTGAGGCTAATGTTCAGCCAGAGCCCCTGGCCTCCCTGGCTTCCGCCTGGATTGCCCAGTGGGTGCCCGAGAGAGAGCTTTAGCAGCTCCCTGCGGAAGCCTCAGGTGCCCATGCCTCCTGCCAGAGACCCAGAATAAAGGGTCTGGGTGCACCTGGCAGGGAGCTTGCTTAAAGCTCCTCTGGGGATTTGAACTTGCAGCTGAGGTGGAGACACTGAGTGTGAGATTCCTGCGCAATCGAGGCTCCAGGGACAGTGCAGGCAGCCAGGGTCCGATTATCTAGGAGGCTGCAAACTCCAGGCGGGGCGTGGGGGAGGAGGAGGTGAGAGGGACGCTGCCCAGGGACAGGGAGGCGGGCACACGCCGGACGCAGCTGTGACTGCTCTGCTGACAGCTGGGCGCCCAGGTCACCTCACATGCCTCCTGAGGGCCTCAGCGTGGCTCCCAACCCCTCAGCTCAGGTCCACAGAGGCTCGTGTCGGACCAACTGACTTCTGGGGACAGCCCCCAAGAGAAGGGCCCGGGTGTGGGACGAGGAGATGGGCTTCTGCTGCCCACACATGAACATCTGATTTAGCAAAAGGCTCCGGACACAGAGCGCTGGTCTGAGAGACGGAGCCGGTCACAGGGAGGACGCAGCTCAGGTGGCAGACCCAGCTCTGCAGCTAAGAGCGGGTGGCCCTGGGCACGGCTCAGCCTCGGAGACTCTGCTCTCGCCTCTGTGGAAGGGCACCATCACAGCCACTGGCAGCTGCCGGGAGAAGCCAGCTACATCCTCCTCGTGGCAGCATCGGACCCTGCGGTTCTGTCATGTCTGCACCCCCCAGCCTTTCCCCGGGCCCCTGCCTCCCAAACAGTCCCACTCACACGAAGCTGCCAGCTCCACTGGCCGGGTCTGCGGCTGCACCTCAGCCTCGGACCCGCGCCTCGCACATCGAGGTGATGGAAGTGGTCCATACCCGCCGTCTGAGAACTCTATCACCTGGCGAGGCGGCCCTCCTTCCTCAGAACCACAGGGGAGTCTGAATGTGGGGCCTCCCCCACGGCAAGCAGCAGTGCCAGGCCCGGGCGGGAGCCAGTGTCCTGTGGACGCTGGGGGCCGGAGTGCCAGGGCTGGGCACATGTGAGCCTCGGCAGGACGGGGTGAGGGACGCGCAGAGACGCCCAGCTCACCCAGCAGCTCTAGCTCCCGGCTCCCAGGAGCCGCACAGACTTGCCTCCTAATGAGCCTCTCGGCTCCAGGATGTACATCCTGCTGCTGCCACAAGGCCCTGGGCTGACAGGCCCCGAGGGGTTTGCCCAGAACTGACAATCAGGCCGACACTTAGAGAGGCTTCGGGGCAGACGATGGGGTGGGGGGAGGATAGGGGTGCCCACGGGGCAGACAGCTAGACCGGATGGGAGGGATGGCAGGGTGCGACCCAGCTGCAGGCAGAGCCCTACCGCCTGTCTGAGGTCAGCCTCTCAGGTGAGTGGGGTGGTGACACACTCCTGCCGGCCTGGCCCTCCCAGTGCTCAGAGGGCGGGGGGTTCAAAGGAGAAGCAGCTGGTTCTTCAGGGGCAGATGAAAGTGTGAGGCTTCCCAGATGTGAGCGCCCCCCTCTGCCCTCTCCAGGTGAGGGCCCAGCACCCTGACACCCTCTTAAAATGCACTCACTCCAATCAAGGTGTGCGTGAATGACAGCAGCCAGCCAGGCAGTCTGGTTTAACAAGGACCAAGTCACAGAATGTTCTAGGAGGGAGGAGGGGCTCCGGGAAGGCAGGGAAGTGCCTCCTGTCATCACCCACTTCACCCACTGCGGGCCGGCCCGGCCCTGACCCTCAGCCGCTGCCTCTGCCGCCAGCCCTGCCCAGCCGGGGCACCTGCGTGTGGCCTCGTGTGGACTGGAGACAGCAGAGGGGCCCCAAACCCCAGGGCCAGCCGGAGGTAACTCTGCAAAGGAGACATGTCCCTTCTCCTTGCCCTGCCAGGTGCCATAATCTCCGTCCTCCCCTTCCCCGTCTGTGAAATGGGGTCACTAACCAGTGACCCCACCTTCCAGGGTTAGTGTGAAATTTAACTCACAAATAAGATGATGTATTGCAGCCAATGAGGGCACCATCTGGTCCATATCCTAAAGACCCTGTAACAATATTAACTGTCTCCCGCCCCCCATCACTCCAGGGAAACGGCCCCTTCTCCGGGATCCTTGGTCCTCACCCTCCAGGCGCTCTCCTCTCCAGTCGCTGGCACTCTGTCTGAACCCCCCTCTCAGCTCCCTGGCCACAGCCGCCCTCCGCCCGGTCCCTCCTGTGCCTCTGACCACGTCCTCCTCTTTCTCCTGCTCCTGACCCCCAGGGCCTTGTGCACTGAGCCAGGCAGCCCCTCTGGGAACTCCCAGACCTTGGTCCGACTCTGCTCCCTGCCGCTTCCCATCTGTCCGTGATACCGGCGTCTCTCCCCGAAACTCCAAACCCTCTTCAGTCCCCCCCCCAGGCCCAGGGCAGACTGCCCCGCGCCCTGAGCACGGCGCCCACACAGCCCTCCAAACTCATCCTCATGCCCGATTGGCTACACAGTGCTGTGGTTAAGAACACAGGCCGAGCGCCAGCCTCAGTTTCCCTACCTGTGAAATGGGGATGGTGTTAATCCCCTTTGCAGAGGATTACATGGACTCACATACACAAATTACCACGTAAGTGCTGCAGAGGCCTTTGCTGTTATTATCATCACCCGTCTGTCTCCTGCCCCGGCCGGGAGCAACCTCAGAGGGAGGCATGGGGTTGGCTGTTCGGCTCCTCAGCCCCCAGCATGGCCCCTGGGCCTGGCTGGCACGGAAGACGCAGCTGCTGGATTCACCCGAATGCATCTGTGAGGCTTTACAGAGGTTCCCCCGCCCCGGAGGGCCTCCCAGTCGCCTGCGTGTCCCGGTGGCTGTTGGGTGTACGGGTCACCTCAGGCTCGGCCCAGCAGCTGACACTTTCGCCCAGTGACATGCCTGGCCCCTCCATTAATACTGCTGCCAATCATGTCTCCGCCACCTCTTCCCGCTGTGGGGCAGGGCCCCGGCGGCCCGCCACCTGGGGGCAGAGTCTGGGGCTCAGCCAGGATGGAGATGGGAGCCTGCTTGCATTTCCTCATGACCAGCACCCATCCCCTCGCCCCCCTGTACCCTCACCTCCTCCGACGGCTGGACGGAGAGCCCAGGCCGCTGAGCCTCCTCACCATCCCGACAAGCTGGGCTCTGAGGCCCTGGGAGTCCCTTCATAGGGATGCAGAAGTTGTGGGGTATCAACTGGATCCCCAAACCTCTGGGCAGTAGGCTAAGGACCCTAATTCCTTCCACCCCACGAGACTTGAATCGGCATGCTCTCCCACTCTCCAACCTGGAACTTCCCTTCGCTTCCCCTCCATCTCTCTCCATCCCACCCACTCTTCCCCTGCCCACCTCCCACACGACCTTGCATCTTCTCTGAGCCTCCTGTAGCCCCCATGCTCCAACCACTGTCCTCCCATCCCCCATTCCAGGAGCCCAGGACCTGCCAGACACCTAATGGGTTTGTGTGGCTCGAAGGCCTACTTTGTCTCCGATCTCATTTTGCATAATTACTTCATTGACTGATATACTCAGTGCACATCTGAGCTCCCTGTGGTCAGACTATAAGCTCCCTGAAGATGGAGCTGAGGCTACATCCCCTTGAATGCTGCACAGCTGGAGGCACGATGAGCACATAGTAGGTGCTCCTGACCACCTACTGGAATAGATGGTGGCTTTTCTGTCCCAACCAAGAAGCAGGAAGAGGTGCCACTCCCACACACAGCCAGTCAGTGTAGCCACCGTGAGCAGGGGCACAGTGAGCCCCTGCCAATGCCACCAGCTAGGACCCCCGTGTTCCTGTCCGAGTGGCCAGCAAAGGCCCAGGCCCTAACACGTGCCAGCTCGCCGCCAGCTTCAGCAATCACCAGGAAACCAGGCTGGTTCTCAGGACCTTCACACACACACACCAGCACCACCTTTGGGTCCCTGGCACTTAGCGCAGTTTGTAATTACAGGTTTCTCTGAGCGATTATTGGATAATGTCTGCCTCCCCCTCGCGATGTAAACTCCACGAGCCTGGGTGACGGGTGAAGACCGTGCTTGTTCCCTGCTGCCTGCCCAGCCTCCAGTGCAGGGCCCGGCGCCTGATGGGGAGTCAGTAAACACTTGAGGACTAACTGCTGGATTTGGTATTGGACGCACACCAAAGCCTTTCTGTGTAGATGTGTCCCGTGAGCCTCAAAGCAGCCCTATAAGGTAAGTAGACGTTTAAATACCCATTTTACAAATAAGGAAACTGAGGCTCAGAAAAGTCAAAGTTTAGCCGAAACTGGTTTGGCTCAATGGATAGAGCTTCGGCCTGTGGACTGAAAGGTCCCAGATTCGATTCCAGTCAAGGGCATGTACATTGGTTGCGGGCACATCCCCGGTGGGGGGTGTGCAGGAGGCAGCTGGTCAATGTTTCTCTCTCATCGACATTTCTAGCTCTCTATCGTTCTCCCTTCCTCTCTGTAAAAAATCAATAAAATATATATTTTTTAAAAATCAATAAAATATATTAAAAAAGAAAGAAAGAAAGAAAAGTCAAAGTTTAAGGAAGAAGAAGCCAAAAGAAAGGTCAAAGTTTGCCCAGATTGACAGTCCATTTTAGTCACTGAGCCAGTTAGAAACCAGGTGTATCCACACTCAGCAATCTGCACACCTGGGACTATGATGATATGATGATGACGACGACAATGACAGCTAACATGTGATAGCAGTAGGCTGTTACATCAGAAAGTTCCATGAGCTCCGTGTCCCGTCCCTTCCCCCCACTTGGCTGGCAGAGAGTATCTTGGGATCCTGACTCCCCAGAATCCACCTGGCAAGAGCTGGGGCCGGGGGGACAGGCCTCCTCTGCATGTCTAGAGCCCTGTCTGGCCCCCACCTGCCCCTCCAGTGGGAACAATGAAAAGACAGGGGAGCTCCAAGTTTAGCCGAAACTGGTTTGGCTCAATGGATAGAGCTTCGGCCTGCAGACTGAAAGGTCCCAGGTTCGATTCCGGTCAAGGGCAACACCCATTGGGCTCCCCTGGAATCCCAGGCACCTCCCATCCCCCCAGCCTGGGGTAGTTCCCACCAGTGGGGACCCCTGACAGGAGGAAAGACTCGGGGTGCAGGGAGGGCTGTGAGGAGGTGAAGACACTGCCCCAGGGAGGAGGGTGGAGGTGGTGAGGCTCAGGAGTCCCTCCCTGCACAGGGCCATCTCCGGGGGTCTCTGCCCTCATAGAGGGACCACCCACCTCGGCGTGAGCCAGGCCTCCCGCACCCGGGCGGGGAGGGGCATTTCCCAGCTCACCGGTCATAGTCCCCGTTGCAGAGGGCCCTCACGGGGATGGAGAACGTTTGCCACACTGGGTTTAGGGTGTTCTTCATGACCTCGGTCTTGTGGCAGATGGTGAACCTGGCAAAGAAGAGAGGGAAGGGGTCAGACTCCAACCCGAGGAAGCCGACTCCAGTCCACCGAGGGGCCAGCTGGCTGAGCTCTGCAGTCGCCAGCCAGGGCGGACCGCGGCTCTGTGAAGGGAGGAGCTGACCGTCAGCCGCGGCACGCAGGTGGAAGCCAGCCGGCCGTGTCCTGGTGGCGCTGCAGAGAGGGCTCCTGTGGGCATGCGGCTCCGGGCCTGCTCTCTGTGTGACCCTGAGCATGCCCTCCCTCTCTGGGCACCTGTTTCCAGGGAGTCTTCAACTGTTGGGCTTTAGGGTAAGGTGACCAGACGTCCCGCTTTTGGCGGGACAGTCCCGATTTGTAACAATTTGTCCCGTGTCCCTCGGTGTTTTTAAAAAGATTAATCGGGACTTTTTAAAAATGCCGAGGGACTCGGGACAAATTGTTACAAACCGGGACGTCTGGTCACCTTACTTTAGGGGTCTGTGTACCTTGCAACTGTCAGTGAAGCCGGGGTCGGGATCCACATGTTTGCTGTTTTTCTGCCCTCCCCCCACCCCCGCCCCAATTTCCACATTCAAGGCTCACCTCCCCGCTTCCTTCCGGTCTTTACTCACACCTCACCTCCTTGACAGAGCACCTGCCGTGAACGCCGTATCTAAAATGCACGCCCCCTGGCCCCTGACTCTGACCTCCAGGCCCCGTCCACGCTGTCTTTCCATTCCCCCTGTTACCATCTGACGTTAGATACCCCCTAACTGTCTGCTAATTCCCTCCAAGGCCTGTCCCTAAAATGCACGCTCGGTAAGAGCAAGGGTTTTGTCTTCTTTGACCGCTGGTCCAGTTCTAGAGCCCGCAGACACTGCCTGGCCCGGGTGAGTGTTCACCAAGTGTTACCTGGAATTAATGAATGACGAGAGGTGTTTCCGGAGGAGAGTTTCCATCGCTTTGGCTGGCCCTCAAGCCAGCGGACGGAAGCCCGGCCTGAGAGGATCTCTAAGACCCTTCAGCTCTGAGCCCGTGAGCTCGCTTTGCAAACCAGAAATGCAGGATTGGCTCATCCCATCTGGGTCCCAAGGCAGTGTCCCTGCCCACTCCCCGCACACGCCTGCTGGCCCCTCTGGGAAGCCTGCTCTGCCACAGGAGGGGGAAGCATCCAAGAGCCAGTGGAGCTGGGCCAGGAGCAGCCCCCCAGACTTCCCAGCATCCGTCCCAGCTATCTCCCCGCTGGAGGGGTCTCTCAGGGAGGTGCCTGGCCCCACCCATGCCCACACAGCTTGTGCCGTTTCTTCTCTGGCAATTTCCAAGTCAAAATGTCATTTCTGTCACGAAGGCTCAGCGTTTCTCTTCCCCGCTCCTCTCGCCCACCCCCTGGAGTGCAGAGATACACGTGGGAGACCTCCCCACACACCCAGCGCTGCTGCTGACGGCGGGAATGGCACGGAGCGCGGAGGGGCACAGCTGCCGTGGCTGGGGCAGCAGGGGCAGGAGGCTGGGGGTGGGGGACAGGAGGGAGGGGCAGGGACATAACGGGCATGGAGGAGGGAGGTGTGCTGTGCAGAAGCCCTGGCTGTGCTAACCCGCATGGACCCGCCAGCCTCTGCCCCGTCGCCGCCCTCGCAGCCAAACTCCCAGGCCGGGCTCCGAGCTGCCAGCCTGCTTCCCTCCCGGCTTGTTTCCTGGAGCCTATGCAGTCTGGTGTCTGCTTCAGACTCTTGCCTGAATCCCCTGCCCCCGCCAAACCCACAGGCCCCTCGCCTCCCCACGGTGCGGTCCCTGCAGTCCTGTCACCACCCAGTTCATCCTGACACACGCTCAGTGGGCGGCGCAGGAGAGCGCTAACCAGCGGAGAGACAGTCCCAGGGCCGCCACCCCCCGCTGTGCAGCCCCAGGCAGACCACACTCCCCCTCTGAGCTCCCCCTCGCTGTAACAGGGGACAGCACAGGAGCTGCTGGGCCCTGTTAACCACACGTTAACTCATCCATCCTCACAGCAGCCCTGTGTGCTGCTGGGATTCGCTCGTGGACACACGGAGTGGCCCAGCAGCCACAGCACGTGTGACCACTCCCCCTCACAGGCGCTGAGGTGGAATGAAGCATGAAACTCAGTTCCACCACCGCAGTAGCCTCGTTTGATGGCTCCCCGTGCCCCATGGCGACCGTGCTGGACAGCGGGACACAGCACTGGTCCTTCTCCCGGGAAGCCCCACGGGTGAGGCTTGGCTGCAGTCGCACAGCTGGCCACAGGCAGCGCCAGGCCGTGCTCCTGGCCACATGCTGGCTCCCAGACGGAGATGGGATGAGTGAGACGGCAGGTTCAGGGCCAGGAGCACAGGCGCTGGGTGGATGCCTCCGTCCCTGTCCCTCCTGGGGGGCAGGCATGACATCTCACTCCCCGGGCCCCTCACTGACCTTCCGCCATCCTCCTAACTGGGGGTGTCTCCCGAGCCTTCCACTGGCTCCTCCTCAAATGGGTGGTGGGGGTGGGAAACCACCGTGCTCTCACCAGGTCAGCATCTTCGCAGATGCCTGCAGACCAGCCCAGCTCGCGGGGCCTCTGGGCGGGTTTCTCTGGGGACACATCCCGCCCTGTGTTAGCTGAAACTCACCCCAAGAGGCTCCCATGGCCTCCCCCCCGTCTGACCAGCTGCCACCTCGGCCCTCCCGCTCCCCCGGCTCACGGCCGGGGAGGGGCTGGGGCTCCGGGCCTCCCAGTGTGCTGCCAGGTGCCCGCGCCGCCCTTTCGTGCTGCCCTTCGCCCCGGCCTCCTGCCCGCCTCCCGGCACTTCCCTAGCACAGCTCGCCGGGTGCTCAGCACCTGTTCACGTGTCAGTCACGAGTCCCTTCCTCTTCCCCGCCCTCCCCATCCATCCTACACATCTGCTCGGCTGGAACCGTCTTTGGAAGACACTCTGCAGCACCCCTTTCCTGCTCCCAAACCCGAACCCCGCCCCCCTGGGCCGGCAGCCCGCCTGGAGACAGGAGACAGCCCGGGGCCTGGGTGGACCTGCTGCAGCCCTAAAACACCACGCAGCCTCCCCCCCCTTCAAGTCAAGTCAGCCAACAGAATTATTTAAAGAAATCCTGCCGGGAGGGAGTCCTCTGGTGAAACAAAGAGTCCTTTTGTCATGCAAATGACACATCTAATTTCCCTTGTTTTGTACGTTTAGACTTAAAAATCCATTTTCTCTTGAACTGCTACACACCTCCTCCCTGCCACTTCCCTGCCCCCAACACACACACATACACACTTGCAGAGAAGGGGGTGCACACACATGCACACACGAGTACACACACTCACGGCGCACACACTCACACATACACACATGCTCACACACATGGGGCACACACGTGCACACACAGGCTCACACATGCTCTCTCTCACACGCGCGGGGGGGCACACACGGGGACACATACACACGGGGACACACACACGGGCACACACACGGGGACACACACACACACTCGGGGGGACACACACGGGGACACACACACGGGCACACACATGAGGACACACACACACACACTCGGGGACACACACACGAGGGCACACACACACACTCGGGGACACATACACACACACACACACACACACGCACACGCACACGCACGCACAAGCGGGCACATTTCAGAGAGCGTGGCGAGCCTCTCTGCCTCCGCTCCGCTCCGCACTTGCTCCGGGCGCCCTCCTCCGCCTGTGCCTCCCCGCGGGCCCATTCTCCTCCTTTCTCAGGCCCGCTCCCGGCGCCCTAGCGCTTTTCTAATTAACCTCGGCCCCGCTCCGGAATGCCGCCGGGCGGCCTCACACACACACACACACACACACACACACACACACACGCCGCCTAAAGGGGCCGCGGGGACCCCGATCCAGCGGCTTCTTTCACGGGCGAGGAAATGGGCCAGAGGGGCCTGGCCTGCCTGGGTCAGTTACACAGCGGGGGGAGGGGAGGCCCTGGGCCCCGAGCGCCCACCTAGAGTCTTCCTCTGTGTGCGAGCTGACCTACATCTGCCAGTGTGAGTGTGTGAGTGTGTGTGTGTCTGTGTGTGCGCGTGTGCGTGTGTGCGCGCGCACTTCTCTCCATTGTGGTGGCTTCTAGGTCAGGGGCAGGAGGAAGTGGCTCCCCAGGCGTGTGGAGATCTGAATGAAGCCCACGGTGGGGGGTGGGGCTGGGCGGGGAGAGGCCCAGATGTGCCCTCTGAGGGTGAGCAGTGGGGGAGACATGGCAGTGGGTCTGCCACTCCCCCACCTCCCACCTCCCGCGGCTGCTGAGGCCCCCGGAGGGCACTGCTGGCTTGGCGGCTGCCCCCAGCCCCCCAGCCCATCCTCGTGGCCAGGAACCCTGGAGCCCGACCCCCATCCTCCCCAGAGCAGGAGCCAGCAGCTCAGGGCGGAGGGGACCCACGCCCGCCGCCCGACCCGGGAAGGGTGCCGTGTGCCGCACTCACGTTCCGTCCTCGTTGCTCCTGTAGAACACCAGGAACGGGTCGGACTTCCCGAAGAAGTCTTTCTTGTCCAGCTTGTTGGCGCAGAACTGCATCGTGGCAACATCCTGAGGGGAGGGGGCAGGGTGTGAGGAGGAGGAGGCTGGAGGCGCCCCATCCCTGTAGCAGGGGACGTAGCCCAGGCCCCGGAGGCAGGAGGGCCCCAGGCACCGGCTGTTAGAGGGGCAGCAGGCAGCTCACACTGCCCGGCACCGGCTAAGGACCAGCCCTGGGCTCACACTCCGAGGGTCTCCTTTCACCTCCACACGGCCCACCGTCTCCCCGAGGCAGGCGGGTTCTGGGGCGAGCTGGGAGACCTCGGACAGGGAGGCCCCTCTGGGAGCCTCAGTTTCCCCTCTCACACAGGCCGATCGCAGGACACCCCCACGGGCCGCTGTGAGGACCGATGAGGTGAAGGGTGTGGCGGGCTTGGGAGAGCAGGCGCCCACGCCCACACGGCCGGGGCCAGACGCAGTCTCACTGTTTTACTGAGCAGCGTTGAGGGGGGAGGTGACTAACCCACGGCCGCTCTGAACTGGGCTGCCACCGCCAGCGCCCATGCTCTGTCCAGGCCTCGCTCCCTCACACACACCGGGGTGGCTCCTACCGTGTTTCCCCGAAAATAAGACCTAGCGCATGGAAAGATAAGACATCCCCTGAAAATAAGACCTAGTGCAACTTTGGGAGGAAAAATTAATATAAGACACTGTCTTATTTTCGGGGAAACAGGGTAGAAGACACGCCAGCTTAGGCCTTACTTCCCCACCCACGAGCTCACGAGGGGCACCCACCTCACTCTAAGGCAGGTGCGGCCTGCAGCCCAGAGCAGGGAGGACCCCCAAGTGCACCAGGCAGAGCCCTGGTTTCTGACTCCGTGGCCAGTTCACGTCCCCGGCAGACCCAACACTCAGCCCAAATTCAGAGACGGAACACAGGCCCGGGCTGGCCGGCCGGACCCTCCCCTCACACGGTGACAGGCCCTTAGCTCACTGGCCGCAGGGCGCTGACCTCCTCCCCAACCTAATCCCCTGTCCGGAGGCCAGAGCTGGGCCCCTTCCTATACCTGGGCCTGGCCTGCCCTCCGGGGGGGGGCGGGGCTGATGGGGAGCCACCCCGCTTTCCCACGCTGCCCCTCTGTGTGAAAAGGAGGTCCCGCCCTGAAACCTGGGTCCTCAACCCGGGAGGACCACACGGGCGGCAGAGGTGAGGGGACAGAGGTGAAGGTGCAGCTTCCCGGCGGGGCAGGCACGGGATAAAGGCAGGAACACAGTCACTGGAGCCAGGCCGCTGATTCAGCTCCAGCCTTACTGGCTGTGTGACCCTCGGCCAGTTACTGTCCCCGCTCCGTTTCATCTATGAGATGGGGGGACGGGCGGTCCCACCTCCTATGCTTGTTGTTAATGTGAGTTCAGTGCTGAGAACAGGGTACAGTGCATGCTGAGTGCTATGTGCCTGCAAGCGAATCTGACTATCTGAACACTCCTCCCCTCCCCAACACCGTGTGTGCGTGTGTGTGTGTGTGTGTGTGTGTGTCTGCGGCCTCTGACGCTGTCCCACCTCCACTCCCACCACCTCACCGCCTTCCTTCCAGGACATCTGACCACAGCAAACACGGAGTGTCCCTCCGTTCACTCACTCATTCATTCCACAAACGTTCATCAGACACCATCCTGTGGGCCAGCTGTGGAGCTCACAGCCTTATCACATTTATCCTCAGGACAATCCTGTCCCTTTTCACAGAGGAGGGAGCTGGGGTCAGGGGCGCTAAGTAACCTGCCCAGGTCACCTGCAGACACTGCAGAGAACTTCCAGGTGTCTGACTGATGTCAAGCCCGGCCCCTTCAGGCAGCCCCCCTCCCTCCCCCCCTTCACCCCTCCCTTCCGGAGAGCACATACAGCCTCGCTGCGCTTCCCTGCCCGCCCTGGACTCAGGGAGCCCGGCAGTGGGGGCTGGGTGCGGGGCCACCTGGGACAGAGGCGCCCCTGAAGGGCGGAAACACGGCCACATGGAGGGGCCCGGGAATGGCGATCTCTCACACCCCTCATATCGCCACCGGAGAGGGAGAGGGAGGCTTGGCCAGGGCTCCCAAGGCCTAGAAGCCCAAGGAGTCCCAGAGCCCCCCAGGAGATGTAGGCTCAGACTGGCAGGGAGGGCGGCTGCCTTACTGAGCACTTCCCAGCGCAGAGCGAAGGACACCCTTCTCCGTGTTACTGCTGTCCTTCCTCACTGAGTCCTCACAACTGTGCGGAGCAGTCCCTCTGCGCTCCTTCTGCTGGTGAAGACACAGGCTTTTCGGGCCGTCAAATGCCAAGGCCCCACAGGGGATCCCAGGCGGCCGACTTCAGGACTGTCCCCCTCGCCCCTGGGGATCTCGCTCCCTAACCCTACGTCCATCCCCAGCAGGCCCTGCCTCTCCCCGGGAGGCGGCTGGTCATACCTCCGGGTGCTCCATCCCACGGCCCCGGAAAAGGAGGCAGCCCAGAGCCCCGGGCTCCTTCCAGCACTAAGTGGATAAACTGTGGGGGCCGTGGATAGAGATATTGTAGGGTCCTTTGTCCAAGAAGCATTAAGAGATTTCAAGACAGTGACAACAGAGCGTGAGACCAAGCGCAGGCCCTGGTGCCTGCACAGGCCGCACAGCCCGGCTCCTCTCCTCGGAGTCACCGGGCGGTGGCAGCAGGGACGGGGAGAGAAAACCAGCCCATGCTGCGGAGGGGGGGACAGTCCACAGGGAACCAGGGTTCCGCATTCTAGGTGGTCCCAGCAGCCCCTCCAGCTCTCTGGGCCTCAGTCTCCTCATCTGTACAGTGACAGGCTCAACAGGATGCCCGCCACTGTCCCTTCAAGCCGGAAGGTGCAGTGCCAGTGCCGATGCCATTGCCGTGGGGAGCCCTCTGGGACGAGCAGCAGTGGGGAGGGTGGCAGCTGGAGGGCCAGCACTCAGGGCACAGCCTGGGACCCCGGGCTCCTCCAGCCTCCCCAGGCCACAGCTGGAGGCACATCTGGAGGCCACCTGTGCGACACCTGAACGCACATGGGCGAACCGTACACACAGCCCCGCTGTCACCTAAACACGCATATTTGAAACAACTGCAACCGATGCCACAAAACCCAGGGGCAAGTACTCTTACTTGTGCTTCCTAGCAGAACCTCAGGGCCCTGCCAGCTCAGGAAGGGGAGTAGAGGAGTCGAGAAAAACGAATGCAGAACTTAGTTCCAGGCTCCCAGGACCATTCAGTGCCCCCCGGGAGGCTGCTGGCCCAGCCGGCACCTGATGGAGAACAGCACGGCGGCACCAAGGCCTCCTGCTGGAACCCCAGCTCCGCTCCTGCACCGAGCAGCTGGGGGCCAGCTCTTAGCCTGAGTCTTCATGTTTCCCTCTGACCAGTGCCCTGAAGCCCTGTGAGCCTGTGGAGAATAAAGGAGAGGGCACATGCACAGAGCCGCTGCAGGACTAGGAGCCAGCCCCCATGCCGCTTTCCACCGGTTGAGCCTCAGGAAGTCGCCATGTCCCACTGTCGTACCCCTGGAATGGCCACGTGGTGTGCCGGGCACTACTTTTTACGTCTCTTAGCTCATTCCATCCTCTCAACAACCCCACGAGGTGGGTGTAGCTATTATTCCCACTTCTTTTCTTTTTTCTTTTTTAATCCTTACCCAAGGATACGTTTCCATTGGTTTTTAGAGAGAGTGAAAGACAGACAGAAATTTCAATGTGAGAGAAACACATCAATCGGTGGCCTCCTGCATGGCCCCGACCAGGGCCTGGCCCGGGGAGAACCTGCAACCGAGGTCCGTGCCCTTGGTCAGAATCAAACCTGGGATCCTTAGGTCTGAAGGCCGATGCCCTATCCACTGAGCCCATGAGGATGATCCCATTTCAAAGGTGGGGGAACTGAGGCGGGAAGCCACACGGAGAGGGAGACGAGAAGCTGGGATTGGAACAGGACAGCCTGGCTCCAGAGATTAATAACAGATCCCAGATGATGGACCCGATGCACCAAGATACGTTTAATTATGCTCTGTAGCCTCCATTTGAGAAGTCAGGGAAGTGTGAAATTCGTTTTAGAAAGGCCTCCTCCGTGCAGACTAGTTAAAATTAAAAAGAAGGGGAGAAAAAAAAAAAGACGCTGGCTCTGAGACTCAGCTAACTGGAAAAATCCACAGTGAGCCGCACCTCATTTCCCGCTGACGGCAAATCCGAGCGGCGTTGCCGGGGGCTTGTTTTGTAGCCCAGCCTGGTCCGCCCACCCTTACTCAACCTCGGCCCGGAACAGTGGTCCTATTCACCAAAAGCCCACTATGCCCGTCTGCATTGCTGCGCTGTTGTCAACTCCATGGGGATCCAGCAGCCACTCTGAGATTTCTGGGCCCGAACCAAGGCAAGCTTCCCCCTAACGGGTGCGCACCCGCAGCGAGTGCTCAAGGCTGGCACCCCGTTTGTTGTCTGGGGACTGTGCTTTCGAAAGTGGCTCTGATGTATGTCAACAGTCGTATGAACAAGGCCTCACCTGCTCCCCTTATGAGGGTTGGTGAATGGATCCACCCTTGATATACGTGTGAGCCCCGGGGAGGCTGAAAAGGGGCAGTAAGGAGGCCTGGGCGGCAGGCTTAGGAGCAGGAAGCCTGGCTGAGGACCACAGTCCCTGCAAGAGCCTGGCCCTCGCCCTGGCCCTCGCCCTGTGGGAGGAGTTCTCAGCACAGGAAATGCTGCTCCCAAAGCAGAAGCCTCCTTGCAGTCGACTGTGGAGAAGATAAAGCAGCTCCTGCAATACTTGATTTCCTGCAGTTTCTGCCTTTTCACCCTATCTTTTTAAAAACCATAGTAAGTTTTTCTTAAGCAGCAGGATTGCCTTCATTTGCATGTTTCTGCATGTTAATGAAGCTGCTGGAAAGAGCAGAGCAAACAGCCTTTCTCTCCTGGGTGGCCTGGCCTACTGCAGCCGTTAGCCCTCCCTGAGCCAGAGCGGGCTGCGGGGGGCAGAGGTCAGCGCGTGGGCCGGAGGCTGGGAGAGGGAAGGACACAAGGCCAGTGCAAAATTTACTTTAGGGTGCCCCAAATCTCAG